TAGCTGCGAGAACGGTGTGCGTCGCTAGGGTGGGTAATTTGCCATACAGATGTCACAGATGTGGGTTCACTGTGTGAGTCATGGATATGGATGTGTGCTGCTCGAGAACGCGTATGGTGTCTACTTATTGTGCGACCTGGACGTCTACAGGTGAAATCTGCAACGCGTGTATGTGAATGGCATGTTTTCGTGGTAAGTTTAAGGTTGCATGTTATTCATGTTATGATGGTGTATGGCACGGGATGGACTTTTTGATTTGCCACATTGGTTTTATGCTGCTGGTGTGGCTGAGTGCTGTCTGGATCGTTATGATGTGATGGAGATGCTCGGTCCTGACACATGACATGCAACATGAGAAGTAAGCATGCAAGTTACGAGTATGTAAGCACTTGGCATGCCCTGAATGCTTCCGTCCTTGATATATGGCCTTGGCATCTGGGCACATACATGTGTGGCTGCTGAAGGTGAGTGCAGTTATGATAGTGGTGATGTTTGTTTATGTTGTTTAGTATTGTGCATGCGAATGGTGAGCGTTCCTGGTGTACCTCATGGTCGTCTGTTACTCATGTGCATTACTGATATGTGCTAATGCTGGAATGCATTCATGTGATATGGATGGAAGGTACTTGGATATGTCATTGGTGCCTGGTATGTACATCTGCTCTCGATGCGTGCTCGTTATGTCTGTGTTCCGTGCATGTTGTTGGCACATGTTGCTGATCTAGGTTCGCCGTACCTGTCATGGATGCGTGTGCTTATGTGAACTAACGGCGTGCACAATACACAACATTATTTTGAATTTTCTACATGATATTTTTGTGTGGTATAGATGTATGATGTATACCACTGGCGTGCATTACCAGCATCTGAAATCAAGGTCTGTGGACGGCGTAACATTGTAACGCCTTGACGGCGGGATGCCTGTCTGATGAGGCTCGCAAGGCGAGATCCCCAGGAAGCACGCTGGTATCTTGGGGCCTGGCGGCCGTAATAATTATGCTGGGTGGACGAGGCGGGGCGTGAAGCTGTGACGCCACCCTGTTGGGGCTCCGCGAGGCGGGATCCTCGGGGACGACCCGGTCCTTTTGGCTTTCTTGGGGCCCGTGCCACGGTGTGCTGGGTGTGGGCCGTCGGCATTCTCAAGGGCTCCTAAGTTCGCGCTTCGCGCTGCGCGAAGCGCGAATAACTTCGCGCTCTCGCGCCGCCCCCCCCCAGGGGGAGAAGAGGAGGACGAGGAGGAGGGGGAGAAGGAACGAGGACCGCGAAGCGCGAAGCGCGAATAACTTCGCGCCCTCGAGGGAGCCCTTGCATTCTATGCATGCCCCTGCCGCTCACGTCCCGACCCCGCGAGGGGCCGGAGCGGCGGCGCGACAAAAACTCGGCCTCAGGGGCCACGCGCTCTCCCCCACGCCCTGCTGCCCCCGGCGCCCAGAGCGGAGGGCAACAGCTGACTACCTACCAGACCACCCCAACCCAACCCGAAGACCCGAATTTCGGGTTGGGGGGGGTAAGGGTTCCACACGTGTTTTCTCGATGTTTCCCGACCCCCCCCCACTGGAAATCGAGGGTAAATCTGAGCCTTCGGGTTGGGGTGGGGTGGTTTGGTGGGTGGTGAACAGCAGGGGCACGGACATGGGTCGGACGTCGATCGCCGAGCGTGGGCGAGGCGGGTCGGAGGCTCATGTCTGAAGAGCAGCGCCAACCTGCCGGGCGGGGGGAGGGGCCGGAGGCGCCGCCAGGGGTCCAGGGTCGACCCGAGAAATCTCCGCGCGGACCTCTGACAATGCTCCAGAAAGAGCCCAAGGGGGACACAACAAATCTACTGAAATTGCAAGATTGTCCCTATAGTTATGCATGGATGCCGGAATGGTGCCTCTTCCCTTCCATGTCCCATGATTTCACATCTCATCACGGTGCTCGTCCTTGTTAGTGCCTGTGCTGAGGGCTCCCTCTTGAGTGTTGTGCTTCTTCGAGGCAGTGTCGCGTCCTGGGCCACGAGCCTCGCTCCACCGTGCACGAGTCGCTCCATGGACACCCGCAGGCCCCTGGCTGCGAGTTGGACCGTGGACGTCTCGTGGCCCCTCGGCCGTCGGCGGCCCTGGCAGTTCTCGACGGTCTCCGAGTGCCCTCGGTGGCATCCGGCCGTCTTCGGCGGTCCTCTGGCCCGATTGCTGCGCTCATCCCTGGGGCCCGTCGCCGAACACCCAGTCTGGGGCATGTCGGGCAACCTCTGGGGAAGCTGGCGCGCTCCCTGACAGAGCAGTCCGTCGCATGAGCAGTTTCAGAAGGCGCCTCATCGGAAGATGGATCACCCGAAACGAAAACGGACGAAGATAAGAAGTGATCCAGCAGTTCATTGGAAATGAACAACTTGGATACCTCATAGTTGGCGACGCGTCGTGGACAGGCAGCGTAACTGGGTGCGTTCAAGCTCTGGCACCCCGCTGTCGTGCCACACTTGTACTGCCACAAAGTCCAGGACCTTCAGAATCGATGGATCCATCGAAACAATGTGGCCTGAATCTCCGCATCTATCGAAACACCGTGGCCCTCCACCGTGGATCCGTTGAACAACCACTCATGGATCTCATCCTGGATACGACAGTTTGTTGACTTGACGACTTGGGTCGGGATTTCTGACCCCCGCATGAAACAAAGACGCCCACGGCGATACAAACATCGAAAAACGATCGAAACGATAACAAAAATGAAACCGACCGAATCGGATGGATCGACGGAAACATAGTACGCGGACGCAGCGGTGCAGCAGCCGGCCGACCCGAACCAACTGGATGCAAAACTGATTGCGAAGCAGCCGAACAGACCAAACCGTGGACACCCGTGTGAACCGCTCAACCCTGAACGGTTCCCTCTCTGTGGGGCCCCCAAGTGACTTTTGACCCCAACCTTCGCGCGGATTTCCCCACTGCGAGCCATCCCCGGTGGGCGGGGCTCCCCAACGCCCCCCTCCCCGGCCCTCCGAGGGCCCCTGTCCGTGCCCCGCAAGCGGGGACCGTGGCAAACCGGGACTGTGGCACACGTCGGAAAACTGCAGCCCTGGGCCGAGATGCCCTCGGTTCCACCGTTTTCTCCAAATAAGCTGTTCGAAATCCTTTCGGGCGGGTGGCGATGGGGGTTGGCCCAGATGGGGGGGCGAACAAGAAAACCCCTTAAAGGGGCTCCGTTCATCAATTTGCCTCTGTGGGTCAACCCACGATAATGTCAGCTTGTGGTTAACACATGCGCAACTATCCCCCCCCCGGGGCGCGAAACATGTTTTACATCACGCGCGCCAGGGGCCGTCGCGGGCGCCGCCGAAGGGATCGTGTCCCCCCTGTATGACCGTGTCAAAACGCTTGCCTTTTTTCGCACGGGAACTGTTATATGAGATCGTGCACATCCGAAGCGTTTTGTTTCCTCCCTCTCAGGCGTCGTCGCCGTCGTCGTCGTCGTCGTTACCACCGTCGTCGTCGTCGCCGCCACCGCCGTCGTCGTCGACGTCGTCGTCGTCATCGTCGTCGTGGTCGTCGACGACTACACTAACCACGAAAGAGGGGGGAGGAGGACTGCCCGTTTTGCTCGGGTCGTCGTCGTCGTCACAGGACCTGCGCATACCCCCCCCCCGAAGGCATCCGCAATGCGTTGCCGCTGACGTCGCCGTCGTCGTCTTCGTCGCCGTCGTCTTCGTCGTCGTCGTCCGTCGTTCCGTCGTCAGCGGGCCTGTCTGCGCAGCGCCCCCCCCCGCCCCCCCCGCCCCCCCCCATGGGGCATCGGCAGTGCGCCGTCGTCGTCGTCGTCGTCGTCGTCGTCGTCGTCGTCGTCGTCGTCGTCGTCGTCGATTACAGCTGGCCTGCGCACCCCCGCCCGGAGGGCATTCGCAAGGCGTCGTCGTCGTCGCCGCCGTCGCCGTCTGCCGTCCGCCGTCCGCCGTCCATCGTCCTCGTCCTCGTCGTCCTCGTCGTCCTCCTCCTCGTTGACGTCCTCGTCTCCGTTGTCGTCGTCGACGACTACAAAGACCACCACAGCAGGGGGGGGGGCTACCCGCCTTCCGCGGGTCGAACGAAAGGCCGGGTAACGAACAGGGGGGTTGCGAAACCTGCTGTGCGCAGCTGGTTTCGGTCGCCCCGCCGAGGAGCCAGTCCTCCATACATGGCCGCTTTCGGCGCCAAGGGGCGTTCGGAAAATCAACAATGTGAGCTGCTGGGCAAATCCTCGCTTGGCCACGCCCCCCTTTCGTCTAGCCCGCCTTGCTCGCGGGACCGCGAAGCAGCTGGCGCCCCCTTGGCACCGGCCAGGGCAAAGGCAGCGCACCACTTCGACAGAAAGCAGCACGGAAAGTGCGGGGGCGAGCGCCGACGGCAGTTCTTCTTCATTTCGAACAGGTGTCGCCCTGGCCTGGCTCACGGTCCCTGCTTCTGCAACCTTTGCCTCCCGCCCATTCCCCTCCCCCAATCAGTGCTGTCTGTCGCCTTCTCGCTGGCGGCTGGGCGTCGGCGCTATTCACGGGCGCCGCCGCCGTTGATTTTCAATCTGGCGGGCGCCACCCCGCGAATTCGCCCGAACGAGGGAACTATTGTTTTAACACGCGCCCACCACGGATGTGTGAACCACGCGCTGACATCACCACCCGCCCGATCCTGATTTGCCAAGTCCTGGCTCCAGTGGCCCCGACCTCAACCTGGGAGCGACGGCGCCTCCGCCGCGCCGACATGGCGCTCACCTGCCGTGGCCAGCCCGCAGGGGCCGACCGAGGAACGCGCCGCACCGCCGGCGCATCGCCGACGCATCGGCGACGCATCGGCGATGCATCGGCGACGCATCGGCGGTGCCTCGCCGCCGTCGGCGTGGGGAAGATCGGGCCCCGCGTCGGGACGCATCGCCGATGCGTCGGCGATGCGACGCGGTCCTCCGACCCCGTCCACTCGGCCCCCATCTGGGAGGCCCAGAGCCCCTGCGCTCTGCCCGCCCCTCCTCCCCGCCCGGGTCGGCCGAGGGGAGTCCTGCGAGGACGGGCTCGTCGGGGGGCCGCGCGGTGTCACGCACCTGGGGCCCGCACATGCTCTGAGCGGGGGAGTGCGTCTCTCGTGCTCCTTCGCCACCCTCCCGCTCCCCCCCTTTTTCCCCTCCACCTCCTCGCCCTACCACCCAGACCCCTCCTGCCCTGGCCTCCTCCCTTCTGTCACCCCGCTCCCCTCACCTCTTGTGCCCGCCTTGCCCCCATCCTCTCTCTTCCTCTGCCCCGTCCTCCTCCCCGATCCTCCTCCTCCTCCTCCGCCTCCTCCTCTTCACTGCTCCTGTCCGCCCTCCTCCTGCCCGCTGCCTCCCTCCTGATGCCGCCTTCCTCCTACGGCCATTCCTTCTGCTATCGCCCATTTGCAACTCGAACCTTACTGTTCCATCCTCCCCCTCCTCCTCTTCCTCCTCCTCCTCCCGATCCTCCACCTGCCGAATTCCGCCCTCTCTTTCCTCCTGATCCCCACCCTTCCTGCCCCGTATTTCCTCGTCCTGGCCTCTCCTCCAGACCCCTCCTCTTGCCACAATCCTTCCTCTCCCGAAGCAATTGCAAAACAACTCACATCGCCATTTGCAACCACGCTTCAGGGCAACGACACCAGCATTCCATCCCTTGCGGGTCGGCGTCTGGCCGGACGCGCGGTGCGTTTCCGACTCTCCATACTCGGGAGTCCTTCTTCATCCTCCTCCTTCCTCTACCTTCACCTCCGTCTTCTTCCCTCCTCCCTCACCTCCTCGTCTTCCATCCTCGCTTAGGGAGAAGGGTGCCGATGGGAACGGGTCCCGACCCCAGGGGCTGGAGGGGGCGGGGCAGGAGCTCCCCCCCTCCCCAAACTCCAAACCCTCTCGAAAAAACGTCACAAAATCGCGACGGAAGTTTCTCGCAAAAACGTCACAAGATGAAACGCCGGCCCATGGGAATAGGTTGAAACCTCTGGGCGTCGGCGTCATGAACGAATCCGCCGACCCCATTGGGTCACGGCGTAGGAAATGCTCAGTATTCCACCGCCCTAAACCCCCTCCCCCGGGAGCCCGGTCCGGCCTGTTTGGAAGAGGGGTGGGGGGGGGGGGGCGGGGGGCAAAGGTCTCATCGGGCCCCACGAGGCCCCAGAAGGCTCCAAGCAGCCCCCACGACGGCCCAAGAGGCCCCTGAGACGCCCAAAGACGCCCAGGATGGCCCCAAGACGGCCCCAGAAGCTTCCTAGACGGCCCAGGAAGCCTTCAAGAGCATTCCCAAGAGGGGCCCAAGAGGCCAAAATCGTCGAATTCCGATGTGGATACATACTCTTCGGCCATCACGGTGTTGAAGACGGCCCCAAAGTCCCCCAAAACCGCCCCAAAACGGCCCAAGCGGCCCAAGAGGGCGCCAAGACGGCGAAAGAGGCACCCAAGACGGCCCAAGAGTGCCCCAAGACGGCCCAAAAAGAGGCCCAAGAGAGGGAGCCTGAACCAACAATCCGAGCCTTCCGCCCCAAAACGGACCCAGGGGGGCCCAAGAGGCGCCCAACAGGGCCCATGAGGCCCCCAAGAGGCCCCAAGAGGCCCCAAGAGGCCCCCAAGAAGCCCAAAACAAGCCCCAAGTACCATTTGAGGCGTGTAATTTCTACCACCAGGGCGCGCCCCAAGAGGCCCGGCATAACCAAACGTCGGCCCCTTCCCGGAGGGAAACGTCAAAGTTTACCACATTCGCTTCTCGAGCTTTCATGCGTCCCACAGCAGCCCCCAAAAAACAGCCCAAATCAACCCAAACGCTCCCGCGCGCACCCATGAAGGCTTCAGACGGCACAAACGGGCCCCGACGGGGCCCCCGAAGCCACCCGGGAGAGCCCCAGGACGGCCCCAAGAGGAGGGCCGTAAGGGAAACCCGAATGGAGAATCCGAGCACTTCGCCCCGAGACAACATGAAAGGGCGCCGACATGGACCCAAGAGGCCCTCACGGGGATCCACAATGCCCCCAGAATTATCCCGGGGCCCGGAGGCGGCCCTTCGACAACGAAAAGCACGAACAAAAACTGAAAAGCCTAAGGCACTGCAGCCAAATTTTCTCTTTTCCCCACGCAGACATCGTTCGCCACGGGCCCCCCGGACCCTTCCCTCAACCCAATCGAAGGAAAGAAGATTTCGTCGTCGCCGCCGGTGTCTCACAGATTTTCGACCCGAGGCATTTCCTCGAATTCAGCCTCCAGGGATCGTTTTCGGCGCTGGGGACCACCGCCGAAAGTCCGGGATGAGGATCGAGCTCCCTGGCGGGTGCCACCGCTTCGCAAAGGAAGGAACACGAGGTGGATCGAGGCTCGAGGCATGAGACTCCTAGTTCTTGGGCGCTCTCCGCCCCCTCTGGGCCTTCAGGAAGCTCCTCGTCGACGCAGCTGGGTCCACTCTCGAACTTCTGGCCGGACGCAACCCCAGCTGGGTCTCAAAGATCCCCAAGCCTGTCCAGGGGGGGAAGAGGATGCCCGGGACACGCCCCGTGAAGGCCCCAAGAAACTCACACAAGACCACGACAAACTTCACAACAATCCCCTAAAAGGCCCCTCCTTGAACCCCACACGCTACGTAGGACAGGCCGAAACTTCAAGATTGCCCAACGATCGCGCGCGTTCCGCGAATTCTGTCTGTCACTATTGCTGCCGCCCAAAGGGGGCGGTGGTGCGGCGTAAGCCAATGAATCATGACGTCGGGGTTCTGGGTCCACCTCGGGGAGGCGGAGGAGGACTCCAGTCAGCTTCCTCCCCCCCCACTCCTCCTGTCGCTCTTCCTGTACATCCGCCTCTCCGCCCTCCCTGCCCCCTCTCTCTCACGCTTTCCGTCGCCGACCTGTCCCTCCGCCCTCGAAAAACAAAACAGCTGCATTGCCACAAGGCTCTCAGAGGACCGCGCGGACTTCCTGGGTCGTCGCTGGACCCCTCCTGGCAGTGCCTCCGGCGCCGACCCACGATATCCGAGAGGACCCTTGCAATCAGGCTTATGTTGCTGCAGTTGTTTCCTGCGAGGCGGGGATATATCCACATCCACCACCTGTGGACCCGACGTTCTGGGACCCCAGCGGGCGGTGGATGTGGATAGATCTGGACCCCACAGGGCCCGAACAGATCCATATCCACCGCCTGGCGAGGTCTCCGAAAACCGATCCGCCAGGCGGAGGATGTGTGTGTGTGTGTGTGTAAATCCCCGCCTCGGATCTCTGTCTTCATGGGCCCCTCGCCTGCCGCAGGCGGGCGAGCCAGCCGCCGGAGCCGAGGGCGTCCCGATGGAGCCCCGCGCCGCGCGCCTCTCGGGGGAGGACTGTGCGCGAGGGGGGGGGGGGGCGGGCGGCGACGGCGGGGCCAAGGTCGGGGGCTCAGGAGGGGCGCTGCAGGCACAGCAGGAGCTCGACTACAAGAAGCCTTCCACAAAAAAACCCAACCCTGAGGTCCCAGGACGTCGATTGGTTTTTGGTGTCGGAGCGTCACGCTTTCCATGGCAGGACCATCGAGACCTAAGAAACCCAGGGCACCCTGGAGGCAAGCGGGGTGCTTCTTGGCATGAGTTTCCGCTGTGCAGGGACAGCCTGATTGCCAACTCCGCGGGAGTGGTCCCGCAGAGGGGCGGGCGGCGACCATGGTGAAGCATGCTTCGGCGGCGAGCGAGGGGGGGGCAGCGAGGTGGAGAAGGCTTTCTGAGAAGGCGCGGCGGGACTTCTCAGAAGCCCTCGCGCCTTCTGCTACATGTTCTGTGACTTCTCAGAAGGCCTGGGAGACGTCCGAGCCTTCTGATAAGGCCCGCCCCTTCACCACTTCCCCGGGGCTCGCCGCCGAATGCTGGGTGGGAGCCTGAGCGCTGGCCACTCACGTCAGATAGAGAAGACGTCAGGGAGGAGGGACGCTAGGAGGATTTACGCACCCCCCAAGCAAGGGGCCCTATGTGCACGCTGATGGGGACGCGTCGGCCGTGAGTGCTCCTGCAAAATGAGGGGCACGTGAAGTGTTTGCGACAGCTCTCATCCTTGAGCGTCGCATGGGGCAGGGCGCAGGCAAGAGGCAGGAGGGGACTGGCTCCGGGGGGGGGGAGGCATCGACCTGGAATGGGCGAAGCATCGCCGAGAGATCGGAGACAAGCCCCCGAGAGTCCGCACGCTCCTGGGGGGGGCGTGGGGCTGTATCGTACCCCTATCGGCGATGGATCGCCGATTCGGGGTGGATGTCTCCCCCCCATGAACCGGTCCCCCCTCTCACGTAGCCCCTGACGGGGTGGGGAGAAGGATGGGCGGGGGCAAGACGGCGGCACCAAGCTCGAAAGCTGGCTGAGCCGAAAACGAAACCGAGACCGACAACCTGGAAAGACGCAGAGGCGCACCAAGCGACCGTGACCAGCCTCGAACTCAGTTCGACCAGCCCGACACTGTGGTCAATATGAAGTATGCCCCGTCAGAAGACAACAAGAGCCATCAATACCGACGCCGAGCCAAGGAGATGCCAATCACATTGCTCCGACGGAAGGACCCCACATGAGAATCCTCTGGGCGAATCTGGAAAAAAACCTCACCGTCGTCATCGTGGTTGGTGAGGCGTCCTGGCTGTCTCTTCTGCGTATAATTCTTCTGGCCCTGGCGCGGGCCCTCCCCCCGCTCCCTACGTTGCCCCCGACCTCGCCCTCCTGTTTTGGCTCCTCCGGACATTCAGAAAGTGGCCCGGGAGTGGTGTTCTGGGAGCACGAAGAACACGAAGTGGCCTACAGTTGGCTCCAGGCAGTCAAAATGTGGCCCGGGAATGGTGTTCTGGGAGCACGAAGAACACGAAGTGGCCTACAGTTGGCTCCAGGCATTCACAATGTGGCCTGGGAATGGCGATCTGGCAGCGCGAGAGCCCAAAAGTGGCGACAATTATACGAATTTGATGGCCCGCTCGGATTAGGAGAGCCCAACAGTGGCGACAGTTACAGGAATTGGACGACCCGCTCGGATTAGTAACATGATCCGCGGGCCCCATAGGGAGGGGACTCCCGCTTGAGACTTCCTCGCAATTCACTCACACATGTAGCCTGGGAATGGCGTTCTGGCAGCGCGAAAGCCCAAAAGTGGCGACAAATACAGGAATTGGATGACCCGCTCGGATTAGTAACATGATCCGCGGGCCCCATAGGGAGGGGGCTCCCGCTTGAGACTTCCTCGCAATTCACTCACAGACGAGGCCCAAGGCAAGTGAGTGAGTGAGTGAGTGACTGACTGACTGACTGGTGATGATGATGATCATCACACTCTCTCACGCGCACACTCATCATTATCATCATCATATGTGAGTTCATGAGCGTGTGAGTGAGTGAGTGCTGATGAGTGGGTGAGTGAGTGAGTGAGTGAGTGAGTGAGTGAGGAATGAGTGATGATGATGGTGGGTTCCTGTTCCTGCGCGGGGTGTCCAGAGAAAACAAGAACCCCACTTTGGATGTGGGGAAAAAACATATAAGGGTATGCTGCAGGCTTGTAAGACGTAACGGAACCAACCGAACGCAGCAGACTGCGAAACAGCGGAGGGTAAGGGGGGGTAGGGGGGTGGTGCGGGCGAGACTCGAGGATTCATGCCCCGCCTCCTAATCAGTCCGCCTCATCCTTCCCTCTCTTCCTTTCCCTCCCCGGCTCCGTCCCCTACTCGTCTCATTCCTCTTCCTCCTGCTCCGCGTTCTCCCTCTCGTCGCCCTCCCCCTGGTTACCCTCCTCAAAGGGACGGAGAGAAAAGGAAGCCGACCAGCCACAGCTGGCTGCGATGTGCTCTTCCACCCGGGAGGAACACATCGCATCAGCGCTCTTGCGAGATGGCTGCGGAGGCCGACTGATCCTTCCGCAGGAGTGAGACCCGCAGCCATCCGAGCTGGAACTGGCCTGAGAAAGGGGGGAGCTTGAAAGACGTGGGTCATCGCACGACCCCCCGAGTGAGGTCCGTGATGTGAGTTGCCGAGGGATGCCACAAGCATGCCGGCCGCCATTCTACGGGAATCGATCAGCACACACACACACACACCCTGCTTGATTATATACATCTGTGTATACATGTAGACGCACATGTGCACCATACCATACGATACGATGGCATCGGTATGATACCGGAGAGCGCGAATGGTCGCCGGACACCTGGTATAGGCAGCAATGGGAACGGGACGAGTGGAGGTCAATTCTGCATATGAGACTACAGGGGAAGGGAGCAAGGAAAATGGCAACTGCTCCCGACGTTCTTTTCTGGGGCACTGCCAGGAGCCCTGGAGACCTCCAGAGAATGGTCCAGAGGATACTGGAGCAGGAGGACGATTACCATGCGCAATCGCTCCAAGTTGAGGCCATGTTCAGCATCGGTCATCGCATCAAAGTACGTACCATTTGAGCACGCGTTGCTGAGTGCTAGAGTCCCGAGCAAATGCAGCTAGAACTGGGCATGAGCCTCCCTCCCCTCCTCACCCCACCTCAGCTGCACATCTGGCCAGATCCACCCGTGTATCTGGCAAACCCTCCACCTGAAACATCCAAGCCTCCTCCCGCTCCCTTCCCGCTCATACCCCCGAACATGCCCGCCGCGCCTTCTCTTGTCTCTCCTCCGTCGCTGGAGACGGAGGAGGAGGGATGGGGAAGCGGAAGAGTCAAGGGGGGGAGGACGCCCGACTCCTCATCATCCTTGGCCGCAGCGGGGCAGCGACGCACGAACACCGAGCTCATTTGCCAGATTATTTCTCTTCGTCCCCCCTCCCGCCCTCTCTCCTTCCTCCTCCCTCATCCCTCCCTCTGTTCAATCGATGCGTGGGCACCTGGACCTCTGGACCCCTTCCCAATGGCTGGTGTGTCGTCCCATCTCTTTTCGTGTTCACGGGCCATGAAGCCATACACAGATCCGGAGCCAGCCACCTCAATCTTTCGTGGAGCCAATCTTCCCCCACCCGGCTTCCTAGACAGCAAAAGAAGCCTTCCAGGCATGTAGGCTTACCTGGACTGCCGAAAGCCTCGACTGGAAATTTGATTCAAGGTCCTGGTGCTGATTGTTGGTAATCCTGGACGGTCGAAATCGAAAAGGGCAACGCTAGGGGGGAATTGATTCAGGGGAAGAAGACATCGGCCTGTAATTGTCGAAACACCGCCGATGGGTCGGCGATACTTCCCTCGACAACGAATCCGCATGCTTTTTTCAGGGAAACGTGGGTACAAGGGACTCGGAAATCCCCGACGAGGTCGTCAAAAAAATGACGAGGCCGAGCCTGCATTTTGACGAGGCCTCCCGCTGCAGACATCCCACAAAACTCCTCCTCATCAAAATCCGAGGCGCGGTCGTCAAAAAACGATGGCGAACCCGAGTCCTGGCAAACCCGGGTCTTACGCTCCCCCGATTTTAGGTGGGGTGGACTATCGGGCCCCTACTGGCCACGACGGGCGATAGGGGGGTCGAGGCATCCCCCCCTTGACGTTGCCCTCTGGCTTCAGGGTCATCACTCCTCGGCTTGCCGGCAACCGCTCGGGACGGTCCGGGAGCAACCGGAACGCTCTCGGCGAGAGGCGCAGCTGCGGAAACGCACGCCGATGCTTTTGGAAACCGACGAGCACCAGCGACCCAACATCTTCAGGCCTCGAAGCCCTCGAGCCTCGAAACCCTCGATGCACTCTCCCCAGATGTAGTTTGGGCCCGATCGAACGGAGTTCAACACGGGAACTGGGAAAGTGTGCGCTCAGGCATCTTTGCATGATGGGAGAGACGAGAAGAAGGACGAGAGAGGAAGAGGAAAGACAACAGCGCTGGGTTCCTGCCTCAGACCATCGCCCTGTCTCGTGGCGGGCCTCCCTCTTCCCCGAAAAAGGGTCTGCTTGGTTCAGGTCGCTGCAGTCTGGCGGAAACCACCGGGCCTCTTGACGTGAGAGTCTCGGCCACGACTGTCTACGCACAGTAAACTTGAAACTCCTCAAGCGGCGCCCATGAGGCCCCAAGAGGCCACCAAGAGACCCCCAAGAGGCCCCAAGAAGCTCCCAAGAGCCCCCAAAACGGTCCCCAAGATGCCTCAAAACTGCCTCCAAGAGGCTCCCAAGAGGCCTCCCACGAGATTCAAACCAACCTCCACTAGGCTAATAACCCACAAACCAGGCACGGTGCCGGGACTTGCCGTAGGCAGCAGGATGAACATCAATTTTGTCGCGCACCACCTGGCTCCAATTGCCTGGGGGGTAATTGTGAAAGGCTCCGTTTCGCTGGAATGTCATCCTGCGGCCGCGGTCCTCCACGTGTTGGCAGAGTGCGAGGTCCATCCCACCCTGCAGCGCAGCATGCGTCGCATGCGAATCCTCCTCTGAGCCTGTCCACCAAACATTTACCCCGAGTTTGGGTGACCTCAACGGGTATGGAAGAATGGTTGCGATGCTGGACAAAAGAACTGTCCAAAATCAGCAACGGCCGCTGTTGGGCAGGCAGCCTTCTACCGCGAATGCACAACGTCCGCGGCGACACCGACAGCGAGTCATGCTCAAAATTGTCCGGGAATTCTGCCAATTTTTGTACACATTGTTTCCTTACCCAGTCGATCGTCCCGACTGGGGGTCCCTCCCCTGGGGAAACCAACCGGTCCTGATACCGCCACTCCCCGGAGATCTCCTGGGGTGCGCTCTGACCAGAATTCCGGAGCGAATCCAGCGGTGGCGACGCGGGCATCTCGGGTTGCGGCATCGGTATCTTTCCCTCTCCTCCCCTCCCTCCCTACCCCACGCGAAATGGTTCAGAAATCATGGGTTAAGAAATTCATGGTCTCAGAACTCGAATAAAAACCCAAAAAATTGCTATCAAAATCTTAGGATTCACATCGAAATATTAAGAATAATCGAGACTCTGGCCGAAAACTCAAGTTTTCTTAAGCATCGCCTAAGGTGTACCCGTGGCCCGTACCCGGCGCGCCTGCCGCTGGACGCCGCTGGCCCATTCCAGAGCAGCCCCGATCAGGGGCCTGCAGGGCTCCGCGCGGAGGCGGTCGATCACCTGGGCGGAAGGGGGAGGGGCCTCCTCCCTCCCTCCTCCTCCTCCTCCTCCTCCTCCTTCCCTCCTCCTCCTCCTTCCCTCCTCCTCCTCCTCCTTCCCTCCTCCTCCTCCTCCTCCTTCCCTCCTCCTCCTCCTCCCTCATCCCTCCCTCCTCCTCCTCCTCCTTCCCTCCTCCTCCTTATTGACTACCTACCAGACCACCCCAACCCAACCCGAAGACGCGAATTTCGGGTTGGGGGGGGTACGGGTTCCATATGTGTTTTTTCAGTGTTCCCAGACCCCCCCCCCCACTGGAAATGGAGGGCAAATCGGGGCCTTCGGGTTGGGTTGGGGTGGGCTGGTGGGTGGTGACTTCTCTCCTCATTCTCCTCCGTCTTCCCTTCCCTCCTCCTCGTCCTGCCCTTCCTCCGAAGCCTGCTGCTTCCCCTCCCCTTCCTCTTCACTCTGCACTCTTCCTCCTCCTTCTTCTCTCCATCCTTCTCCTCCTCTTCATCCCTCTCCTCCTTCTCCACCCTGATTCTCCTCCAGGATCTCCTGATTTGTCAGGGGGGGTCCAGATGTGGTCGGTCGGGGTGTGGCGTACCAAAGGCGTCCACGGGGACAGCACAATCAAAAACCGCTCGCACCGATAGCGAAACCGACACGCCGCAAGCAGCCTAGAACGACGCAACAACACAGCACAAACGTAGAAACCGCACCGACCGAACGCAACCGACTGCGACGCAGTTAAGTCGACCGAACCGCCAACACCCCTGCCCACCCTCCGATTGGTGGCGCGCACGAGGGGGCAGGGGGAGGGGGGGGGAGGTCTCTTAGAAGGAGGCTGCTTCTCAGAAGGCGCTGGCCTTACGCCTGTAGGTACTGCCCGCGCCTTCTACGAAGCACAAGTCCTCCTGAGAAGCCTTCCCCCCCCCGACCTCCCTCTGCGCGGGGCCGATCCGATCTCCCCAGGGAGGCAGCACGTTCGGGCGACGGGACGCCGCTCCCTTCATGTCACGTGCTGGCCTTGCCCCCTTTACTCAAGGGCTCCTAAGTTCGCGCTTCGCGAAGCGCGAATAACTTCGCGCTCTCGCGCCGCCCCCCACGGGGGAGAAGAGGAGGACGAGGAGGAGGGGGAGGAGGAAGGAGGACGGCGAAGCGCGAAGCGCGAATAATTTCGCGCCCTCCTGGGAGCCCTTGTTTACTGCTGCCCCAGATCTGCGTTGAGCACCCAGCTCCCTGTGCATGCCCTGCCGCAGCAGAGATCACACCTCTGGACCACATCAGGGCGCAGCGCTCAGAAATTATCGTCTTGGAGGCTTCATGAGGCTTCTGGATGCTCCTGCGGGTTTTCGGCCGGCATCTGCGGCTCTTCGAAAGTTTCTGGAGGAGGCACGCGGTGGGGGAGGAAGGGAGGTGAGAGGTCAGCTCAAACTCAGGATTTCTCATGTGTCTGAGGAACTCTCGGTATTTCTAACGGCTTCCAGAGATGGAGGGGGATGAGGGGTGAGGGGAGCAAGAGGGCCGCTTGAGCGCTCCTGGAGATCATGGTGGTTCCTGGGAGCTCCTGGCAATCGGGCGGGACAGGGGGAGAGGGGAGAAGCGAGATGGGATCTTTGACCTTGCTCCCGCGGGCACGCTGTGGCAATCCGAGACCCTCTCCATCAGCAGGCAGCCTTGGGCGGCAGACCTCGCGACAGCCTCCACGGCACACTCAGAACCACTTTGGTGGGCCCGTGTGAAGGGCAACGGGTAGAAGGTCAGCGCGCACGTGGGCGGTTGCTACATAATACCACCCGCATGCCCAACAGACTCAAGTCACCCTTTGAGACGGTCCAGCGACTGGCGAGTTGAGGGAGGGGAGGGGAGGAGGCGAGGAGGGCGCGGAAAGAGGGAAGGATACGTGTCAAGGGGGAGACCCGCTCGGGGGGGGGAACGCCGACCTTGAATCGGCGAGCCCGCACTTTCCCAAGCGGAGTGGCTAGCAGGCCCATATCGATGATGAATGGGCGATTGGGGGAAGGCGCATGCCCACTGACACCATCCCCTGGGAAGCCCAAAAGGGACCGATACCGCTTCTCCCTGGACCTCTCCCAGCCTGCGCCCTGACCAGAAATTCGAAGCGAATCCGGGCGCGGTGACAAGGGCGCCCCCTGAGGCCCAGAAAAGCGAAAACGAGGCGAGGGTGGCGGTTTTTGTGCCTCTTCCTCCTCTGATCCCCCCAACGTTCCCAAACATCCAGCGTATCGAGATTGTTTAAAACACGGGCCTCTGGCGTCGCGAGTCCACTTCCCCGGGACCGGGCGTTTTACATCCTAAGCCGTATTGTACCGTTTTGTTGACTGTCCCCAGGCCCAGGGATGGCGCCCCGTTACGATTTTCTCGAGGCGCCGGATGCCTGGGCTGTTCCTCACGGGGATACGACAAGGAGGTCCGGGCAACCGTCCAGAACTGAACCGACCGTCCCGGCATTCCTAAGGGCCACAGGATACTCTTAGAACCACAATATGCTCGGATCCGCCACCGTGCTTCTGTGCACGGAATGGGCGTGCCCTCAAGTCCTTCCACGACCCCTCTGAGCTTCAGTCGTCACTCCTGAGGAGTTCGTAAGGGCACGGACCCCAAATCCTCAAATCTTCTCGGGCTTCTCGCGGTGCCCCTGGAGCTTGCCGCGTCCTCCGACAAAAACCCTAACAAAGGCTCCCAAAGGCCGCCAAAACGGTCCAAGAGGGCCCTGATTCGCCAATCGATCGCTCCTAGACGCTCAAGATGGCACCCAGACGGCCCAAGAGGCCTCCAAGACACCCAGAGAGGCCTCCAAGAGGCCTCTCAAGTTTTTGAAAGATTTTGGCGTTCTCGCCTTTTCGGCTTTCCGACGCTCCCAAACGGCGCAAGAGGCCCCCAAGATCGCCCCAAGACGGCCCCAGAGGCATTCCTCAGCACGGCCCAGACAGTCCAACACAGCCCAAGAGAACCCCAACACGGCCCCAAAAGGACCCCAAAAGAGGGAACGCGAAAATCCAAGCCGTCCGCCCCAACAGGCCCCCTAGGAGGCCCCAAGAGGCGCCCAGGAGGCCCCAAGAGGCGCACAAGAGGGCGGACCGAAAGCCATTCGATCCCCCGCCCCTGTTGATTCAACGTATCACAAGGGTACCTGACGTGTTTAGTTTTGGTTATTTTCAACAGAAAACCAGAACCCCCCCCCTTGTGGCTCCGGCCCAGCGCGCGGGCCACCCGAAAGGGACCCCCAAATCTGTCCGTCTATGCCTTTCCCGCTCCAACATGGCCCAAAATGGCTTCCAACACGGCTGGGGTGGGCCCGACATGGCCACCAAGTTCGCCCAAGATGGCCTCCAAGACGACCTAAAGAGGGTCGAATATACCTTAAACTCTGCCCAAGAAGCCTCCAAACCGGTCCTACACGGCCCAAGAGGCGCACATGAGGCCCTCACAACGACCCAAGTGGCCTCCAAGACGTCCTCCAGGAAGGCCCGAGGCGGCCAAAATCATTAGCTTTCTGGCTTTTGGAAGCGTTCTGGCACGTGCTGGTTTTCAGCCTTCCGACAGCCCGAAACTGCCGAAGAGGCACCCAAGGTCGCCCCAACATGGCCCCACAGGCCTCCAAGATGATCTCACGACGGCAGAAAAAGCCTCCAAGACGGTCCCAAGAGGCCTCCAAGTTCGCTCAAGGTGGCCCAGAATGGCCTCAAAGACAGCTCAAAAGAGTCCAAGATGGCCTCCACGACTGCCCGAGAGGGTCCAAGATGCTTCCGAGCTCGCCCGAGAAGCCTCCAAGACTGCCCACGACTGGCCATTATACCCCTAAGAAGCGTCCAGGACGACCCGAGCGGCCACCAAGAGGTTCCCAAGAAGACCCGAAGCGGCCCAAATTATCGGTTTGCCTTTTGTTTTGACGGAGTGTGGCATGTGTTTTTGTGGTATCGCGCGCTCGAGACTGAAGATAATTCAAGCCCGAATGCACATACGGACGAGCATGATACAGCAGACTTCACAAGCAGTGCACGTCCACGAAATGCTCTCGCCAAGTAGAAGTTGCAGCTACAAGCTACCCCACGAGCATTCCCCGAAACAGATCTGGGCGGCTTCGGGAGACAAGTGCCAATGATATATTCAACATCAGACGAGGTGGCCATGATCGGGGGCAAATGCGTTCTAAAAGACGACCCCCAAAACGTGTAAACGCAACCCCCTTACGACCCCAAGACGGCCCTGGACAGTGCCACCGGGCCCCAAACTACCTGCCCTTTCTGTTCGGCGAGCCCGAGGCCTGTCCAGGAAGGCCCCTCAGATGGGCGAGGGAGACCAGATCGGCTTCCTCCTTGGACTCACTCTGGCCCACGCCGTCCCTGGAAACTTTCCAGGCCAACTCGGGGAACACATTGTCCTGTCCGGTGGTTAGGCGCACGTGTTCCCCCACAGATTTCAACGGCGGCTCGGATAACACCTTGTCCGATAGCTCGCCCGACTCATGTGCCGAAACGTCCGACCACAGAGGCGCTCATGGAACAGCGCTGAACAAAACAATGTCTTCACCGAAGAGTCTGACACGACATCCCTTTGACCATCAGTAGTCCAACACAAATATTGTTCTGTTGTGTGGCCTCCAGAAAAACTGCCAATGGTATGACCACCCCTGGTGCTAGGCGAAACCAAAGACTGTCCAATGAGGCTCACCGATATCGGTGAGTGAGACCAGATCGAAATCCTCGCTGCGGTCATTCTCACCCACGTGTTCCCCGAAGGCTTTCCAAACCGACTCGGGGAGCACGTGCTCCGATAGCTATGCCAAGCTCCAGTCGCAGTTTTGACACACAGGCTCTTCCCAAGAAGGCAAGGGCGGTGGTGATTCGCCGTAGGCGTCTTCTATAACGATAACAATGGCCTCAGAACAGAAAACCGACGCACGAGAGCACGACGGCCTCAACCTGACATGTCCTGAGAACACCTCGTGCAAGTGCAAGCCACGGAAGCCCACCAGACCACTCCCTGGTGGCCCTGCACGCCAGCCAGGACGCCTCGCCACTGCTTGAAGCCCCTTAGAGTGACTACCTACCAGAACACCCCAACCCAACCCGAAGACCCGAATTTCGGGTTGGGGGGGGGTAAGGGTTCCACACGTGTTTTTTCGATGTTTCCCGACCCCCCCCACACTGGAAATCGAGGGTAAATCTGAGCCTTCGGGTTGGGTTGGGGTGGTTTGGTGGGTGGTGATACAGCCCCTTGAAGCCCCTTGAAGCCCCTCAAAGCCCCGAGGAGCCGCGGCGGGCGCCTGCGAGGTGAAGCCCGCCAGGTGCACCCGCACGCACTCGCCGGCGAGGGCCTCCCTCGCCGGCGAGGGGCCTCGGCACGCCGACGGCGGGCACAGGGGGCAGCCGAGGCCAGCTGGAGGTGCGAGGGAGAGAGAAGCAGCGGAGGGGGATGAGGAGGAGGGAGGAAGGGAGGAGGGAGGAGGGAGGTAGGGAGGAGCGAGGAGGAGGAGGAGGCGAAGGAGGAGGAGGCGGAGTAGGAGGAGGAGAAGACGCGTGGAGGAGGAGGAGGAGGAGGAGGAGGAGGAGGAGGAGGAGGAGGAGGAGGAGGAGGGAGGGGGGAGGGCGGGGGGGGGGGGCCACGCGGGGGCCGCGCAGACCTGCAGCCAACCCGAACAGCACGGGCGCGCGACGAGGGTGCGGGAGCCCTGGAAGGGCACTGCGACGCCTTGCGAGCGGGGCACGGCCAGCGAAGGTGGCCAAGGATGGACCAAGGAGGGCAGGATGCCAGGGTACCCTTGGGAAGGTTGCCCATCCTGACTACGGGGGTTGACTGTACACCAAGATATCTGGGCCCTGTCCCATGAGGCTTCGCAGAAACGCCACAGGACAAGGCATGGTGTATTATCATTTCCTGGCAGGTTCTGCGGGCGACGAATGTTGAAACAAAAATGTGCACTGCATCTGGGCCGCCGTGTGGTGCTAAAGTTGACATTTTCCTGGCCCCGAGAACAGTCAATCCAGACCCCCTCGATTCAAGCAACAATCAGGACGGATACTTGTGCTCAATTTTCACTCTCTGGGAGCCCCATGCTGGGACTCCTGGCCGCCAAAGAACGACTCAGGATGAGAAGCCGGTCCGGGGAAATGGGTCGCAGCCCTCGAAAGTGGTGACAGTTCCGCAGATCGCAGCCCCCCAGAGATGACGTAAAAGGCAAGAGAAGAGAAGAGAAGAGGAGGAGCGAAGAGAGGCGGAGAAGGGAAGCAAGAGAGGAGAGGAAGAGGGAAGGGAGGAGGAAGAGGAGGAGGAGGAGGAGGAGGAGAAGGAGGAGGAGGAGGAGGAGGGCGTCGGGGGTCCGGAAGCTAGGCCCCGTTTTGGATTGCTCGCGCCACCGCCCGTGCCCGGCCCCGCTCCGCCCCGCGCCCTCCCCCCTGCTCGTCACGTGACAATCCTCGCCGACCCGAGCATTGCAAGGCGGCGCCGGCGCGATTCGTGACATGACTGCCCCCCTAGACACCTCCCTCCTCTCGGTCATGCCCGTCATCGCAACGGGGATCTGAACGAAAACGCCTCCTAGGTGGGCTCGCGCCATGTCTCACATCCTATTACCCTTCCAAACCATCCCTTCATATTGCGCCAATTTCCTCTCAATCCGCCGCAACGTGTCCTAGCGGACCTGGAGTTCCGAAAAGGACCCAGTCCTGGCATGCGCCATCGGAAATGTAGAGTTGCGTAGGTTGGAAAAGGGTGAACGTTTTGGGGGGGACTGGCTCAGCGGGGAGGGGGAGGGCCATTGTTAGGGAGGGCATGGGGATGGTCATTGTCGGGGGGGGGGGTCGCTCGGTTGGGGGGAGGCATCGAGCTGGCATCGGCGATACGCCTCCGATAGATCGGCGATGGGCCCCCGATGGCGAATCCGCACGCCTCTATCGGTGATGCATGGGGGAGTGGGGGCCCATGCGTCCCCCCATGAGCCTGCCCCCCCCCAACCCCCACGACGTTACCCTTCAAGGAAGCGGGGGGTGGGGTGGACGGGGGAGCGACGGAAGCTTGGGTGCGTGGGTCAGCGAACCAGCCCATGCTCTCCTCGGCAACACGCAAGGAGCAACCCTGGGCAAAACTGGCTCTTGGTGCGCGGCATTCGGGGGGCCGCGTGGAGGGGGGGTGGGGTGGGGGGGGGGGGGGGGCAAACCCAAGCGCGCTAGGCGCACTATCGCACTGCGTCCGGCGATCGAAGAGCTCCAATGGGCCCGCACCAGAGGTCAATCCGGCAAAAGATCACTCTTACGCGTAGTCGATCTCCCCAGCGCCTTCGGGCGCCCGTGCATCGAGGAGCGTGCACAGGGGTCTTCACAGAAACGCTGCCGGACCACGTAGTGTATGATGTTCTGGCGGGTTCTGCAGGCGACAAGTGTTGAATCAGATAAAGAAACAGCGTTTGGGCCGCAATTTGCCACTGAATGGTGGACAAACATGGCATCATAATATAGTGGACGTTCTCTTAGGCCCGACTTTCGTCCGATCCGAGATGGGTGGGAGAGGGCACACGACCGACAGGACGAAGGAAGCCGATGAGCCAGTGCCTGCAAGATGCTTCGAAGAACGGAGTCTTGATCGATCGATCATCGAAAAGCAAATCTTTTCATTGTTCGCGATAGCGCCCGTGACTTGCCCCGGCCCCTCCACACCCTCCCCCCGCCCCAGGCCAGATCACGATGCGCGCAAGCGCCGTCTGAGAATGAACCATGGCCTGGGGCATTCCCAGACAGCGCCAGCCCGAATCGTGACGTAACTGGCGCTCTCCTCCACCCTCCCTCCCCCGCCCCTGGTCACGCCCATCATCGCCAGGGGATAAAAAACGATATCAACCTCCTCCTCCTCCTCCTCCTCGTTCTCATCCTCCTTCTCCTCCTCCTTCTCCTCCTCCTTCTCCTCCTCCTCCTCCTCCTTTCCCGAACTGTGGGCTCCCACCTCGTGGGACGAGCGGGCAGGAGATGGGTGGGCGCACCGGCGGGATGCGCCCGACGGTGTCGGCCAGCGCCTGGAAGCACGCCTCCCCCGCGCTCGACAGCTCGCCGTAGGTGCTGTAGTGCTGCACCTCGAGGATCGGGGTAAGAGCCCAGTTTTGTATGCATCGCGACAGGGCTGGTGACTGGCCCTGGTCCCCCGCCCGTCCCCCCCCCTTTTGGTCACGTCACGATTCGCACAGGCGCCGTCTGGGACTTACCATCGGGAGACTAAATGTCTCCTGGGGTCCGAGTAGATGGTGTCGGAGGATCGCGCCGCATCGGCGATGCATCAGCGACGTCGGCGTGGAGAAATCGGACTCCACATCGAGCCGCATCGTCGATGCATCGTCGATGCATCGGCGATCCTTCGACCCCATTTACTCCGATCCGATCTAGGAGGCCTAGAGAGACGTAAGGGTGAGGGTGAGGCAGCGATGGGTTTACATACAAATCGCACTGCATGGATCGTGATTAAGAAAGCGTGAGCGTCAAACTAATTTCCTTCCCTCACCCCACTCTGGGACACCCCTCCCTCTGCGAACCCTCGATGCCAATTCCTAAGCATCCCCGGACGGCGCAAACGCGAATTGCGACATGACAAGCACCCTCCTCCCCCCCAGGCACGCCCGTTATCGCCGGGAGATAAAACAACAACTGTCTCAAGATAGAGCACCTCAACGTTGGACGTGCTTGGCCCTTCTCGGGCCACCTGGGCCTCTTCTGGAGGCCTTCCCCGCTCTGGAGACCCTCGGGAAGTGGGGCTCCGCGGTGCGGATTGTTGTTGCGTTGTTTGTTGTTTGTTGTTGTTGTTGCTGCTGTCGTCGTCCTCGCCCGCGACCCGGCCCGCGACCCACCCGCGACCCACCCCGCGCCCCACCCGCGACCCGCCCACGACCCACCTGCGACCCACCCCGCACCTGCCCCCTCACTCTTATCCGCAACTGCGGGGTACATTTGTTGTATAGATCTAGTACCGTACAGTCAGTCAGTTCGACCGCATGACCTCATCCAGATGTACGTCGACCAATACTTGCAAGAAGCAAAACTATGCAACAAACGAGTGATAAGTTGATGACGGCGGGCTGGGCTGAGAAAGCGTCATGGGAGAGAGCATGAGAGCAACCACTTTGAAGGCGTAGTCGTCAGCGAGCGCCAGCACGCGCTTGACCTCGCAGTCCTGCCCATCGACGTACGTTACACTATCTGAGAACACCCCCCTTGCCGTGCAAAGCGCAAGGGCCAACAGGGCATTTCACACCACGCTAGCTCACCTCCTGGAAGCACGGGGCCGAACGTAGCAGCCACCATTCGTCCGAAGACTATGCCTTTGCCGAAGCAGGCGAAGGTCGCATTGTCAAGAAGATGGATGGAGGGGGGAGAACGAGGCTTCCACCGTCGCTTTCGGCGACGGTATTCGATTGGTTCGCTCACCTCGTGCCATCCTTTCCTCGTCGTTTCGCTCGCCCGTCTTCTCATGATTCCTGCCCCATTCGGCTGGAAAGAAGCGGCTCCTGAGGAACACGGGTCATGGACCCCACGACTTTACCCCAGGACCAGCTGTTCATCCTGAGCCTCTTCGTTCTTACTTTCCCAAGCCCCTGGAAGAGCCCCCCCGAGAGCCTGTAAACGGTAACAACAAAAACTCCAGGCACGCGTCTCTCTCATGACCCCTCTGCCTCATCTGGGGGGCGTCCAGGAGGGGCACGCCCCAGACGGGTCTTCGCAAATCATGGCCAGAGGCATGTGTGCGGCTGGGGGGGGAAGGGACGCACTGAAATCGGAACAAGGGACCATAAAGTCCAGGGAGATATCATGGCCCTGGCCATGAGATCCACCACACCGTAGTCATCACCCCTTGGCGGCGCGCACAAGGGGGTATGGGGAGGGGGGCAAGCTTAGTAGAAAAGAAAAAAAAAAAAAAAAAAAAAACAAAAGAAAGAAAAAAAGAAAAAAAAAAAAAGAAAAAAAAAAAAAAAAAAAAAAAAAAAAAATAAAAAAAAAAAAAAAAAAAAAAGAAAAAAAAAAAAAAAAAAAAGGAGGCTGCTACTCAGAAGGCGCCGGCCTGCATTACATCTATAGATACGGCCCGCGCCCTCTAAGCAGCACGGGTGTTTCTAAGGAGCCTTCCCCCCTCCCCCTGCCCCCCCTCTGCGCGTACACCCGATCCTGGCGGCCTGTGCTGCCTGTTTGGCCCAGAGCACCAGTCGGCGGCGCCTCTGCAGCTACGTGGCCGCCCACGGCCGCGGCCCCGCCGACGGGGACCGCAGGGGACGACCGCGCGGTGCAGGGCTGGAGACTGGAGACCGCGCCTGTGTCGTTCCAGGGAGACGGCCCTACGCGGGGCTGGGCGGTGGCGCCGGGGCGACGGCATCTCTCGAACGTCGGATGTTATACTCTGGCCAATTCCAATCAATACCCTGTGGATGTGTAGCTGTTGTCGTCCTCCCCTTCCTTCTCTTGGCTCAGCTAGTCCTCCTGCGCCGTGCCGCAGGAGGACGAGATGCGCCAGGAGAAGGAAGGGGAGGACGACAGAAACAGACCCTGGAAACCTGTCGCCGTGTTTAACCAAACTCGAAATTCTTCCTATCCATACGATCGGCAAGCCACATGCGATGACGATCTTAGGGATATGGCTTCAGAAACTGTTAGAATCCTTGAGATCGGCACCAAGGTAAGGTGATGCCAAACGTAGGGATAGGGATAATGATGCTTCCCTCTGGTAGTTTTTGGGTGCCCTCCAGGCCCAGGGCCGTCCACGGGCCTCGAAGCCGTCGGTGAACAAAGCGACTCAGGACGAAGAGCTGGTCTCGGGGGCCAGGGCCGAGTGAGTCACCCGCTCTCCTCGCCAGGGGCGGCGCAGAATGTGCGCCGTCGCGCAGGAAGCGCCGCCAGGGGGCAAAGACGCGCCGCCAGGTCGGGTGCCCCTGGCCCAAAAGGTGCCCCCAGGAGTTCCAAAGAGGCCCCCATGGGGGCACCTTGAGCCAGGGGCACCTTTACTTTAGCAACCCCCGACCAGGATGCGAGTCGGGGATCTGCTGGCCCGGGTCAATACAACTCCAGGTCAGTCGGGCTCCTACAAGAGATCCTACAACATATCCTGCAAAATCCTGCGCGCTAAGCCCGGGTCGATGCACCCCTGCGTTACCCGGGCGCACTGACTGACCCCCGCTTGCATTGACCCCCGTCTCAAGGCTCCCGACTTTTCCTCCGCTTCGACCTCCTCGGGCCCGTTCCGTGCTCTGGGGCATGATCAAAAAAGATCTGGGACGAGACGCTGCTCGCGGGGAGGGGGCCGGAATCCCACCAGCCCTTTGGGCGACAGGTGGTCTAACGAAGGTCTCTTTCCTCTTCCGCAACCCCTCTTCCCTTCGGGGAGGGAAGCCCTCCCCCCCTTCCCTGATGTTTTATGGGAGGGGGTCGCGATGTGTCGGAGGCTTCTTTTTTCTGCCATTGGGAGGGCCATTTTCTGCCACCCCTCACGAGGATCGTGGCCCCCAAGGGGGGAACGCAAATCTAGTACCCCCACTCTTTCGACTGACCGCCTCCAAGATGGCCCCAAGAGGCCCTCCAGGGCCCCCAGGAGGCTCCCAAGAGAGCCCAAAGAGCGCCCCAAGAAGCCCCAGGAGGCCTCCAAAAGGCACCCGAGAGGCCCCCAATAGGCCCCCGAGCGGCCCCCGAGGGGCCTCAGAGAGCCCAAGATAACCTCCAAGATGTCTCAACATAATTAGCCCAAGCTAGCTCCAGATGGCTCCCAAGATGAGGCCCCAAGACCGCTCCAAGACTGCTCAGAATGGCCACGGAGGCCCCCCAGGATGCTTGAGGTGCCCAAATCCTTCAAACATGTAGCGAACATCGATGAATCTAGCCTTCTCGCCTTTTTGCTTTCGATGGCCTTCCGGGGCCTCAAGATGGCTCCAAGATGGCTCAAGAGGGCTCCAAGAGAGGCCCAAGAAGGCCCCAAAACGGCCCCAAGAGCGGCCAAGAGCACCCCGAGAGCGCTCCAAGAGGGGCCCAAGAGGCAATTTTGGGTACTCTCGAGAGGCGACGCTACTTGAAGCTCTGCCAGCCCAAGAGGCCCCCAAGAGGGCCCCAAAGCCCCAAGACGGCCCAAGAGGTCACCAAGACGGCCAAGATGGCCTCCAAGATGCCTCCAAGACAGCGAAGATGGCCCCAAGATGCACCCAAGACGGCCCCAGATGGCCTCAAGATGGCCTTAAAAATACTGCCCCAAAGGCCCGCAAGAGGCCTCCGAGACGGCCCAAGACCCCTCCAAGACGTCCTCCAGGAGGCCCGAAAGCTCAGAAACCACCTGGTCCGATAGCTCGCCTGACTCCCTGTTCCCCGAAGGCTTTCGAAACCCACTCGGGGAACGCGTGGCCCGATAGCTTGGCCAAGCTCAAACTCAGCTTTCGGCCACGCAGTCGCTTCCAAAAAGGCAGGGGGCGGCGGTGATTCGCCGTAGGCGTCTTCGATCCGCCGCCCCCTGTTGATTCATCACAAGGGTGCCTGGCGTGTTAGACCCTTTCGCTTTTGGTGTTGGTTCTTTTCCAACGGGCCCTTTCGGCCCGTCCCGCCAGAGATGCGTACCAGGTGGTGCAAAGGGTTGTTCGGCTCCAGACGGCTCCAAGATAGCCTCCAAGATGCTCAAGCTGGCCCAAGATGGCCTCCAAGTTCGTCCAAGAAGGTCCAGGATGGCCTCGAAGACGGCACAAGAGAGTCCAAGATGCCTCCAAGTTCGCACAATAAACACCTAAGACGGCCCAAGACGGCGCAAGAGGCCTCCCAGAGGCCTCTAAGACGGCCCAAAACGCCTCGAAGATTTCCTCAAGGGCGTCCTGAAGAGGTCAAACTTATTGTTGTTCCTATGGTTTTTTGAAGGAGTTTGGCTTTTGCTCCTTTTCGGCATTCCGACGGCCCAAGACGGCCCAAGAGCTCATCAAGATCGCCCTAAGAGTGTCCAAGAAGCCTCCAAGATGTCCCCAGGACGATCCACGAGGCCCCCAAGATGGCCCAAAGAGGGCCCAAGACGGCCCAAGAGGCCTCCGAGACGCCAACGGTCACCAAGTCGGTTCAGAGATGCCCCCAAGACAGCTTCCGACTGCGTCAGGTGGGTCAGGAACGCCCTAAGACGGCCAAAGAAGCTCCCAACGGCCCCCAAGCAGCCCAATGAGGCCCAAGGATGCCTCAGGCTCCCAGGAAACTCCTAGGAGGTCCCAAGAGTGCCCCCAGAGGCTCCCAAGATGCCCGTCCTTTTTTCTTCTCCTCCTGGTCTTCCCCGCGATCCTCCCCCCAGTGTTCCCTGAAAGGTTTCCAAAACGGCTGGGGGAACACATGGTTCGGTAGCTTGGTAGAGCTCCTGTCACAACGCTCGGCCAAAAGGCATGGGGCGGCGGTGATTCGCCGTAGGCGTCTTCGATAACGCCAACGTCTCAATATGCGCTGATGATTCCTATCCGCTATCGCATGTTATTCCCAGATGCGCCAAGGCAGCGCCGAGACGCACCGCCGCGACTCTGATATATGCCATTATGATAACTAGAGAGGGGGCCGGCGGCACGGGGTGAAGCCCTTACGGATACGACCCCAAGAGGATCCCAAAACGTCCCCCCAGACGCCCTCAAAGGCTTCCAAACGGCCCGAAAGAGCACCAAAGCAGCCCGACTCCCAAAACGACCTCCTCAGGCCTTCGACGGCCCGATACCAGCACCCCAAGACAGCCCCACAAGTCACAGGACGGCCCCAAGACGTCTCCATATACGACCCCAAGAGGGTCCCAAGACGTCCCCCGGGCGCCCTCACAGGCCCCCGAGGCCTCCAAAAGAAGCGAAAGAGCCCCAATGCGGCCCGAGAGGGCCCGCCCCAAGGGACTCCCAAAACGGCCTCGTCAGCCCTTCGACGGCCCGATAGCACCCCAAGACGGCTCAAGATGGCCCGCAGTGACTATCCAACAGGGCGCCAAGGCAGCCCCAAGATGCCCCCAACAAGGTACAAGAAATGCCCCAACGAGCCTCCGTGCAGGTGCCCTACAATGAGATATCGTAAATCAAATTGAAGATGTGTTGGGTCCATCTTGGAATCGATACTGGAACCCTGTGTTCTCCCGGTCCCGACAACACTTTTGGGAGCCAGGACTCACCTACACCCTGCGAAATGCTTAAGAAATCATGGGTTAAGAAATTCATAGTCTCAGAAATTGACTAAAAACCCAGAATGTCTATTCAAATCTTAGGATTCACATTGAAACATTAAGAATAATCGAGACTCTGGCCGAAAACTTGGGTTTTCTTAAGCATCGTGTAGAGTGTACAACCGAGCTGTTCTTGCATGCATAATCGGCAACAACAGCGGTACGGAGAGGCCGTGGTTCAACAGAGGCCGCACAATTGATAACGAGATGCCGTCCAAGTATCGGCCGATCCTTCAAGTTTCCGCTCCCGCTGAACAGGGAGCGTGTCTGGCCTTTCCGAAGGCGAATGAAGAAATTAGTTGAAGACCTGCTGGCACGCTTCTCTGAAACGTGAGATCGCACAATGTTCACAAACTTGCTTTGCACTGTGTGGTGTCGCCCATCGTCGTTACACTATTGTGAAGACCTCAGTCCTATCGCCCGCAGGTTGCCTTCTGCCCAGAGCCCAAAACGTGGACAGCAATCCAAATCGAACGCCTTTGTTTCAAGACGCCTTCAAGCATATTCCGTCTCAGGCTAAATGTGTGGCAGTCATGCGGGTGGAAATTCAACGCTTTAGAAGTTTAAAGGCATGCGAGGGGGGAACCTCGCGGTTGTAAAACCACGTGCGTACGTGAATCAATGCGTGTACATATTCACACAAAAACACGTTACGAACGCATATGTATACATATGCGCGTGCGTGTGTTTGTGTGTGCGTGTGTATACACACGTTGCATGTGAGTACACGCGAGTGTTTGCGGATGACGGCGCGAGTACAAAATTATACATTGTGGTTCCCGTATGTGCACGCATATGTGTGTTCGCTAAAGCGAGCCACTCCAGGGGGTCTTGGCAAGATGGGCCCCGAGCAGATCTGTCGAAGAGGGGGGACACTGGCAAATCCGCAAAAGTTGCCCCTCCCCGAGTCCCTCCACCCCTGATCCGTTTTCGACGGTCCCACAGCCCGAAAGCGGCCCCCTGAGACCAACAACGAAACAAACGGAGACCTTCCGGCGCACAGCGCCTCGAACCCAACGCTCCCCCATTCTCGCTGGCCGGCACCAGCGCTGGGCCGCCTCGGCTCTCCAGCCGCCCCTAAACATGAGGAACCGCGGGGGCCCCGCCCGCGTCCGGAGCGTCGCCGCCCGCGGCCGGGGCGACGGAGAGGCCGTGGCCATGGGCGACCTGCGCTGCCGCCATGGCGCCGCCCCGCCGCCGCAGGCCCCGCGGCAGCGCCCCGCGAGCCCGGGGCCCCGCGCGCCGCGCCCGCCGGGGGCCCGCTCTCGGCACCACAGGCGCCGGCGCTGGGCGCGCGCGGCGAGGCGAGGCTTCGCGGCGCGTATAGCCCGACCAGACACATGGCGTCTCGACACAAGTCAAGGCAGAGGTGCTTCGTCGTTTTCGGCCCCTCGGGGCCCCTCGTTGGGCCTCGGGGCCCTCCAGAAGCGGTTCGGGATGAGAGGCAGGTCTCGTGGAAGGGGTCGAAGGGTCGGGGGCTCGCGTTTCGACCAAATCGGGGTACCAGATGTCAGGGGGCGCGCAAACGAAGGAGAACCAACCTCGCAATGAACAACCCGACAAACGAAGCCCTCTTTGGCGAACGCAGTGGGAATGGAATCGAACAGGGAGGCAATGTGTCCTCTTTGCGGTGATAGACGCCTCCTGATTCGGGTCCGGGTAGATGGGGTCGGAGGATCGCGCCGCATCGCCAACGCATCGCCGACGCATCGGCGATGTATCGGCGACGTCGGCGCTGCATCGGCGCCGTCGGCGATGCAGTAGCGGTGCGGCGCGATCCTCCGACCCCATCTGCTCTGGACTCCACCTGGGAAGCCCAGATGAAGGGGCCCCAGGACACACAAATAAATACACACAAATAAAAAGATTCCCCATATTTTCCCATATGTTCTGGGTTTTTGTCTTCCCCCCCACGTCCCATATTTTCCCATATTTTCCTGGGAGTCGACGATGAATTGTGTCTGTGTGTTTTTTCCCCTCCTGCTCTGGACTCCACCTGGGAAGCCCAGAGCGCGTCCTCCTCCCATCCGGGAAAGGGCCCAAATGGGGGCCCGCGCGCTCTGGACTCCGACCCCTTCTGCTCGGACTCTGCCCGGGAGGCCCAGGGTGCCTCCTCCGCCCTGGCAGGGAAAGTAAAGGGGCCCCAGGACACACAAATAAATACACACAAATAAAAAGATTCCCCATATGTTCCCATATTTTCGGGGTTTTTGTCTTCCCCCCCACTTCCCATATTTTCGCATATTTTCTGGGGAATCGACGATTCATTGTGTCTGTGTGTTTTTTCCCTTCCTGAGAAAGGCCCGACTGGGGGCCCGCGCGCCCCGAAGGCAACACCTCGAACGGGGCAGCCGAGCCGCAGGGCCTCGCGCGATGCCCGCGCGCTCCGACTGCAAGGCCTCGCGCGGGGCCCGCGCGCCCAGAATGGAAGGCCCCGCGGCCCATGGCGCCACGCCAGCGCGCGGGGGGCACGTGGGCGGCGGGGGAGGATGTTGGCACGCGGGGGTCTGGCGGACAATCGCCAAGCTCCGCGCTAGCAGCTTTTCACGATCAATCAAGAAGGCTTTAGCCAAGTCGGCCACATTTTAAGAAATACACATGCGTGAATGTGGAAAGCAAGGGTGCAAGTATTCACAGCACAGACAGACAGAGAGAGGTTGCAGGAACGCGTGCCAACAACTCCCCTGAATTACTGTCGATCTGGCTGTCTGACAGACTGCAAACGGATGTCCCTGGCCGCCAGGTAGCGTCGACTGTCAACCTTGCTCCGGTGCTGCTTGGCACCAGCGGAAGCCAAGGCAGTTCCTCCTTGGCGTCGCTCAAGGCCAAAATCATCCCCGTCCTGAGCAGGTGCGAAAGGGCCTCTGAACCCTTGGCCACATCAGCCTTGGTCATCACATCCGTGGGATCCAAAAAAGATGGGGGCAACCATCTGGCACGCAAGCTGCGAGCAGAAAAGGAATCCCTGAGATCTTCCTCACGGCCTGCGCAGTTTTTGGAACGCGCGTCGAACATCGATTTTGCGCCCAAAGCGTGGACACCTGGAACAAGGGCCCTGAAGCTCACGAGAGCTCCTCAACACAGAAACGAGAAGACGAAGGGGCCCCAGGACACACAAATAAATACACACAAATAAAAATAATCCCCATATTTTCCCATATTTCCTGGGTTTCTGTCTTCCCCCCCACTTCCCCTCTTTTCCCATGTTTTCTGAGGAATCGAGGAGTAATTGTGTCTGTGTTTTTTCCTCTCCTGAGAAGACCCGCGCCCCATGGGCCACTCTGAGGAGGGTCCCTCGCCAGAGCGGGCACTGCGAAGCAATGCGACTGCATCCGCTCCGCCTCTGCGACGGCATGCCACAGGAGTGGGGCTTCGCCTGCGAGAGAGGCATTGGCGGCGCGTTTCGTCCTGGCAAGAGAGCATTGATACACGAGCTGGCTGGCCAGCGGCATGCTTAAAACCTACAATCCCAGCAAACTGAACTGAAGGGGCCCCAGGACACACAAATGAATACACACAAATAAAAATAGTCCCCATCTGTTCCCATACTTTCTGGGTTTCTGTCTTCCCCCCCCACTTCCCATATTTTCCCATATTTTCTGGGAAATCGCAAATTAATTGTGTCTGTGTGTTTCTTCCCCTCCTGAAGAGCATCGATACACGAGTTGGCTGGCCAGCGGCATGCTTAAAACCTACAATCCCAGCAAACTGAGCATTCTACACCGGGCCCTCGGTGCCAATGCCAACAGCGTCACTGGCCGTCATTGCCGCCACCAAACTCAGGTCACACTTCCAGATCATGAAGCATTGCGCTGCCGTGTCTCGCGCGAGCTGCAACACCTCCTTGCGTAGAAGAACGTCCTGGGTCGTAGCATGGTTCAGACTGCTCGCGAACATAATGGCAGCGCCCAGAATCTCCCGCCGAGACTCCAGGGCAATCCAGCTCACACCAGAAAGCGAATTAGCGAGAACTCGGCCGGTGACAATGGATTTGTCTCTGGGTTCTGCGGCCGCGATCAAGCGGCGCTGTCTTGAGCTCCTCGAAGTACTTCTCCTGATAGATACGGATGCGGTGCGGGGTCGCTCCTCGCGCGCTCGCCTGCATGCAAACGCGACCTCGTTCCCGCCCCATTTGCCGAAGGCGAAGCGCCCCTGGAGACTCCCATGCAACCACTTCTCGTGACTGCCGAGGGAGTCGAGCAACAGGTCGTCGACCTCGATCAGCACCTGAGCCACCAACTGCCCTTCCTCGCGCTTCGACCAGTAGCAAGGCTCGAGCAGCAGATCGCGGAAGCCCAGGTCGAGAAGAAAGGCGCGGGAGTGACGCGCCACCCCCAGGGCGCGTCGCCCAGCCCGCGCGCCGCCACCTTGAGCTCGATTGCGCGGCCTTCAGGGACATGGGCCCCTGCAAGACCGTCACGACGGGCCGCGTAGATCGGGTCGCCCGAGCGCTTCAGTGGGCGAGACTGGCTGGGCGCTCTCTTGCAGTCCACGGCGGCCTGCTCCACGTCGCAATGCAGTGTAAGGCCGCGGCAAAAATCGGCGCGGATTCCGGCTGCGGAGACGGCGGGTAGGCGATCAGCTTCTCGGTGTCTGGGTCATGGAGGCCGCGCGCGCGCCAGCGGCTCCTGGCTCTCTCGGCGCTAAAGGCGCCCCCCTGGCCCTTCCAGCGGCGCGCCATCCTCGACGACGGGGCCCTGTCGGGCTTGGTCTTGGCCGCGTGCTGGGGCTCGGCCAGCGACAGCACGCGCAGTGCTCCAGGTCGATTCAGCACTGCCCACTCGGCCTCGTCAAAAGCCTTGAACTGCTCGCGCTCCTCGGGCTTCGCGCGGCTCAGCTTGACCTCGCCAACGTTGGAAGACAGGAGGCTCCAGCGGCCGACGCTATCTCCCGAGCTGACATGCACGAGATCACCCGCGCCATTGGCGCACCCCCCGGCGGCGCCACTCCAGCCATGCTCCTGGGATCAGGTCTCGAACGACTCGCAGTGGGCACTTACCAGCTACTCGTCAGAGACCGCCTGAGAAACAACTGCCATCTCGTCGGAGCCTCTGGGTTGCGGCCAGCGGCCCCGCTCCTCGACGCGTTGTCCAGCTCAGTCGGAAACGCGGGGCAGGAGTTCAACTGGAGTAGGAAGAGCAGCGCTGCGGAACGGCGCCGGCGTTGGAGCCCCCCTCGCGCTAGATCTGAGGTCCTCGGGTCGGATGACCGTCTCGGGCGGGGCAGACTCGATCCTGGGCTGACTCGCTGGCGCCCGCAAGTCCCGGTCGTCTTTGAGACGCTTCACTTCGGAAACGAAGCCCCCCGCGCCCGAGCGCGCCGGAGATGTCCGGTTGGGGCCTTCCGAGGCGACGCCTCTGAGACGCTGGGGGGCGTCGGCTCGGCCGCGGGCTCGGGCCCTCGGCCGCGAGCGGCAGCGCCCAGGCCATCTGCTGGTCGAGACGTTGCCGAGCAGAGCCCCCCCCCCCCCCCCCAAGGAGCCGCAACGATTTCGACATGGTAAAGCTTCCAACGCGTTGCTTTCCTCGATCTGGGCCTCAGGGACAGGTCATCGAACGCGCGCGCGTCGTCGAATGGTCGCGCGCCGCCTGCCCCATTGAATCGCGCCGCGTGCGCCGCGGAGGCGCGACCAACGCGGCCCCCGAGCCAGGCCGTTGCGTGACCCCCCTATACCCATCACCGCGATGACGTTTCGTTCCGCGGTCGTTGGGCATGGCGTCCGCGCGAACCTCGAAGCGCGCAGCCGTCGAAACGCAGACGGAATCGGCGCGCGCGCAGCCGAAGCGCCGGGCGCCGCCCAAGCCGCGCGGCCGATAGCTCGCGCGGGAGAAACAGCTCCAGCCCAAGCCGATGCACGATGGAACGCGCCGGCGCGGGGCCGACGGACCGCGGGAAGGAGCCACTTCGGAGAGCCCGCGCGGAGAAGAAACGCTCGAGCGCGAGTGCCGGGCGGACGACGAGCCAATTCGCGATGACTTCGAACGGTCTGGAGTCGATGCGACGGGCGGCGAGGAGAGGTTTCAGGGAAGCACGGAAGCGCGGCCGCAGACGGAGCCAAAGGGCCCCCGAGGCCCACCTACCAGGCGCCGTGTCAATCCTGTCGAAGTCACGCAAGTCGCCCCTAAGCGAGCTGGCCTTTTCTGGGTTCAAAGAGCTCGCGTCAAGGGAGGGCTGCGGGGCTCGCCCCCCAGCTTGCTCGTTCCGTCGCGTGGCGAGATGGAGGCGCTCAAATAAAATTTCACTGGCGCAGCTCTGCTGCATTCTATCCGGTCGGTGGCGCATCGTCCTGTTTCGTAGTGTGGGTGGTCGTCGTCTCAGGGGCGTGCCATGAGTCCTGCCATCTGCGAACTCGGTCTGGACCCCCCGCCATCTATTTGGGGGCATGTCGCGGTCCTGTTCTGGGCCGCTGCGCCCGCTTCCGCAGCTTCACGATCCCCTGATAGCACTGACATCTGGAGGTGGCTTTCCCGATCCAGGCGCCCCATCATGATCTGCTGCGCCGACCTGTCCACGTAGTATCCGAGGCGAGGGGCTTGGGCGGTGAGCCCGGTGACCAAACCAAGCGGTGCTGAAGTACCTGCACGTCTATCAGGTCATGCGCGTCCTCTACCGTTTGTACCCCAGCTCCGCCCCAGCACGCAGCCACCGTGTCAAGCGCATGCGCGCGCAGGCTCATGCATTGAAAGGTTTGTGCGAGACGCTATCTTCCCGCAGTCGTGGCGGAGTCCCAGATGACGGTGGCCAGTAAGGCACTCCATCAATAAAGGCGGGGAGGGTCGCCGTCGCTACCCTTCGTCTAACGGCGCGCACCTCGTCTATGAAGTTCCTGAGGCGGTCCCTTTTCTGCCCTGGAATCCAGGCGAGCGGGGTCGGCTTGGGCCCTGGCAGGCGCGGCGTGCTCGTGGGCTGCTCCGATGTGCCCCTCGGCGCCAGGGTCAGGGTTGTTGGCGCCAGGCATAACTTCGTCACTCTTTTGCTGTCTCCTGTCCAAGCGTAGCTGTCTGATGATGGCGCGCTCCACAATGCCCCCGACTGCAGCGGCGTTGCTGTTGAGTCTGGCGGTCAAAATTTGGCCGTCGTCGTCGGCCATGGCAGCGAATCCCAGGAGCGCACGTCGGGCCGACTCGTTCTCGTCTGGGGCCATGCCCCGGCCATGCCCCGATCGACCTCATGTCTGTCGGCGCATAGCTGATCACATGCACAGACTGCTCGCGCGACACGCATGCCATTGTTGTGCTGAAGCAAGGCCGCCTCGCCGGTAACCAGCCCCAGGTCGAGCAAGCGTGCGACGACGTCGTCTGCGTCTGGGATCTGTGGACCTGTCAAGGGTGGCCCCGTACGCGGCATCGATGGCTGGGGGGGGGGCATCTGGCGAGAGTCCACCCAGAGTTGGCGGTGATGGTATCGGTGTGAAGTGTCTCGCAGATCCGGCCCGCCCAAGCGGCGGGGGCGGCGCGCGGCCGGGCCAAGGTCCCAATGGCAAGCACCAAGTGCATCTCGGGAGGGGCAGAACCCGTGACGATGTCGGTCCGTTCGCTGAGCTTGGCCCAAGTACCCAGGAGTTCGCAGACAAGCCATAAATGGTGGAGTAGTCTGCTAGTAAAACGCAACAGGGGCGAATCTCTGCGCAGCATGCGCAAGGCATGTCAGCATCTCGTCTCCCAAGGTCAACTGGGGGCGCTGCCAGGCATTCGCGGGGGCGTCCGTCGATCTGCCATGGGGTCGCTAGTCGGACGCATACTGGGCATCGCCCTGCCCATGGCCCCGCGCAGAAGCCATGAACCACAAAAGCCGCATCTGTCGTTGAGTTTGGGATATACCGCGACGTCGCCCCGCGGCCAGGCGCCCCCTGGGTCTACCCGACCGCCCAGCCGCATTGGGGGGATCCCAGGACCCCATGGGCCGGAACGGAACCTCCCGGCGTCATCAATCTGGGTTGCTGCGCTGCTCCCGCCAGATCCGTAGTGACAGGGCGATTCACGACGCAGGCGTTGACGGCCTCGGGAGGGCCATCTAAGCTAGGGCCCGGTCGTGTCTTGCCCAGCGTAGCAGGTCCTCATGCGAGGCCCAGTGAATGACGGACTGCCTCCGCTCGTGAATGAGAGGGCCCTTTGCCCTGCATGCGTGGTAGTGGGAGAGGGCCACGGCGCGCGCGCGGGTTAGCCGGGGCGAGCAGAGTGCCTCGAGGGCCCTCGGCGCTCGAGGACCGAGCACTAGGCCGTTGCTATGTCGGCCGCCCATGTCGCACTGGAGGGGTGCTTCGCGCACATGGTGAACCTTTCCGTCGACCGCAGCCTTCCCCCCGTGGCTTGGGAATCGCAGTCCAGTGGGGAAGTCTGGTCAGCGTCGCGCATATCCAGCAGCTCGGCGAATCTCACTGCGAGTAATTGAGCCGGGCGCGGCCTTGCCCCGCCCAGTCGGCCGTCGCTGTCCTACTCGTTTGCCGACCAGACGAGCCCCGTAAAGTCCATGGGCATCAGGGCAGCGGCGCGCGGCGTGGCGGGGTCGGCTTGCCGCGGCGGGGGCGGCGTTGGAGTTGGAGGGCGGGGCATCATGGGGGGCCCGACCTGCTGGGCTGAAGGCCGCGGTGGCCTTCTGGGCGCCGCTTCCAAGCGAAGTGCATCATGAGCTGGAGCCGCCGGGTTGCCTCCTGGGAGAGAGGATGCGTTCCAGTGCCGTTCGTCCATGGACCGCGCGGAGCTCGCGCCCCACCCATGAAGTCATCGATCGTCGGGCCGCCGCCTGTTCCGCGGCAGCGCGTGCTGGTCGGGCCGCATCTCGGGCCGACGGGGATGCGGGGGCGGGCGGCCGGCTGCGCGCCGCCGAGCAGGTCGCTCCGCATCGCATTGAACCGAGCGACGAGGTGGACGGGGGTTATATAGCGAAGGAAGAGGGGAGGGAGGGCGCAGGCGAGCCGCGAGGGAGCCCCGATCCCGACCCGATCACGAGGCCGATCTGGCTGATCGCGGGCGGGTGGATCGGCTCGCGTCCTGTCCCGCCCTCAACTCAGCGGCGGAGCGGGCACTCCGTTGTCGCCGGGCTGCGTTCGTGGGAGTGGGGGCGCGTGGGGTGGGTTCACCAAGTGTCCGGCGGCGGTCCTCACCTATTTCCCGCCCCGTGTCGTCGCCCCCGTGGTGCGCGTCGTCGGGGGCAGCGGTCGCCCATCCTTGATTGTTTGCCGTGGGCACCTCCTGCTCAGCAAGATGCCTTCGCGCATTTCTCGGGGGCCATGTCGGGAGGGGGGCGGGGGTGATCGGGGAGAGTCGGCGCGGGAGAAAACGCGGGCATCCGAATCGGTTGTTGAGGCCTGGTCGTCGTCGCGGCGGCCCCGCAAGTCTGCCCCCGCGGGTCCTTGCCACGCCTGCAGGATGTCGCCAGGATCAGTGGGAGTGATGCCGCTTTCTGGGGCTTCCCCTGGCGTGTCACAAGAGGTCGGAGCTTCGTCTCTCGCGTCTTCTACCCTGGGCGTGCGACTGGTCGCCGCAAGCGCACTGCCACGGTTCGCCGCACCTCTTGACTCTTCCCCAGGTGAGCGACTGATCGCCGCAATCACAGAAAGGAGGAAGGACTCGGGACTCTCCGCAGGGGCGTCGGGCGGGCCGGAAGATCGCCACCATCTCCCCCCCAGCGCGCGACTGATCGCCGCGAGCACATGGTTCTGATCGGCAACGCTCCTCGTTTCCTCCCTGGGCGAGCGACCGATCGCTGCTGACTCACTGGGGAGGGGGGGGACTCGCGAGTCTCCTCGGGGGGCGGCGGGTGAACCGGAAGGCCATCGCGATCGCGATTCCGTCGCGACGCCGATTTGCGCGGACGGGGGCGAGCCGATCCAGCATCTCTCCGCCGTCCCCTTGCGTCGGGGACACAGCGACCATCTACCCGAATTCGCGTCGCCCCTCGCGGCCCCCTACCGACGCCAGGACGGAGGGCTCGGGGGGGCGGCCCCTCCGGTGCTGAGTCGGAAGATCCAGCAGCCAGCGTGCAAGCGCCTCCATCCATCCCTTGAGCCAGGGGGGCTTGAGCCAGAGGGCTACGGAGCTTGTGGGGATACCTTATTGAAGGACTTGGCCCCGCCAGTAAGGGGTAACTCATCAGTTTGTTCCACGGCACCCGCCGCGCAGCAACAAGGAGCGGGGGGATGACGAGAAGGAGGAGCAGGAGGAGAACTCCCTCGCACCCAGCGATACGGAAGCAAAGCCTTGCGCGCCATGACACCGACAGACATCCCGCCACCCCACACCCCCACAACGGCATGGCACCCCGAGAAACCAAGCCGAGCAGAAGGGAGAAAATGGCGCAGCCAAGTCTGCCTCCATTGGAACGCGCACCCGTGCGAAGCCGGTCAGGACGAACCGGCCAATGACGACGCGTCCGAAAACCTCTCGATTCTAGGTCTTGGTCGCCAGAAAAGGACAACAAAACCAATTGACCGGGCCCACCGCCGACACCATCGGCTGCAATTCCAGATGCATCTTCACCGTGACGAGTTTGCCGAAGAACCCACCGGCCATGGTCGCCCATCTTATGCAGTGTCCTGGACATCGCAATTTCTGGGGTGGACCTGGCAGTGCTCGCGAGAGTGCTCCAGGCCTTGATCATCACAACGCTCGGGATGGCGGGCTTGCCGAAGTCCGCGCCACTGACGTTAAAATGCTGCCGAGAGTGCTCAAGGCCGCAACGTCTCGCCCATCACCTCGCGCAGCCATCCCGGCTCCGCGCGGCTGCGCCCCCCCCTGAGGAAGCGCCGCGCGAAGACCGAAGTGTGCGCACCGCGGGCCAGCGGGGCCAGGAGGAGAAAGAGAAGGGGGAGAGGGGGGAAGGAGGAGGAAGAGGTTTTAGGACCAGTCCTATTCACCGCCGAGTGAGAAGGGGGGAATCAAAACTAAAAACCTCCTGAGACTAGCTGCCCCGATGCGCAACACGCAACACGTGACGTGGACACGGAGCTCAACACAACACGTAGACTGAACGCGTAGGTATGGCGATATGCATTCGCCAAAGCGTGGGCCAACACGGCGAGCCAACACACAGTGTGTCAACACGGACGTTTTGAAGACGGTACGGGGTGCGTTTCGAGACGGGCGTATCAGGGTAACTAACTCCTCCCCCATCCTCCCCTCCCCCCCGCCTTTGGGATACCAGAAGTTACCGATGCCCGATACCGCCGCCACTCCTCGGACCTCTCTCCTGGGGCGCATTCTGACCAAGATTTCGAGGCGACTCCAGCGGTGGCGACGAGGGCCTTCAAGTAGACCCCGAAGAGGCGACAGCGAGGGAACGGTGGCTGCAGCTATCGGTACGCTCTCCTCCTCTGACTCCTCCCCCCCTCGCTCTCGCCTACCCCCCCCGCCCACTCCGGCGACAGCGCGACGCCGTCTTCGCCGCGGGGGGGACCGTGCGCCCGTCGGCGGCAGCCCGCCCCCCAGGCGCCGGCACTGGCGCGCGCTCCCTCACAGCCCAGGCGCGCCGCAGCCCTTGGCGGCCATGCCTCCGACCTTCCGCAGGCCGCCGAGGGCGGACCTAAGACGAGGCCAGAACGAGGACAAAGTCGGGTTCGGATGAATCGAGAATCTCTGAGATCTGGCGGCTCTTGAGGATGTCTCGGGCGCCGCAGCCTTCTCAGCGCGTTCTGGAACGCTCTGAAAGCGTTCGTGAACGCTCTGGAACGGATTATCCTCGTGCTAACCCCGTCCGAGGACCAGAGGTCCGGGGCGGTCTGGAGCGAGCACGTCTCGAATCTGGCCTCGCCCTCGACGCCGAAGAACCCGAGGCGCAGCTTGTGGACGAAAAGCCGGGGGCACCACTCGGGGGGCCCTCCCTCGCCGTAGACGGGGTCGCCCACGACCGGGTTGCCCAGGTGGTGCATGTGGGCCCGGATCTGGTGCGTCTTCAGGGTTACCATCCGGCAGTGCACGAGGGAGTACGCCTCCTGGGTCTCTGGGCACTCGTACTCGGCGACGACCTCCCAGACGGTGATGGCGGGCTGGCCCTCCGCGCTCACCCTGACGCGCTTCTCCGACTCATACCTGCTGGAGTCGATCGGGGCAGTGCACTCCCCGCGGTCCGTGGAGAAGGTGCCGTGAACGAGGGCGACATAGTCCTTCAGCACACCGAGCACGATCTGTCGTTTGGCATGCTCGTAGCCTCGGAGAGTCTTCCCCACCAGGAGGGGCCCCGACACGTCCACGTCGAGCCGGTGGGCCATCCCCCGGTCGCTCGCCTGGTCGCGCGCGGCGTCGCAGGTGGGGTCGGCGCCGAACCGCAGCAAGAGCCACGCCTGGAGGGCCGGCACAACGGCGTCGCACATCAGGTCGCCCACCTTGGCTCTCCTGGCCAACCCAGACAACTTCGCCCACCTGTTTGGATGTCCGGAATGGGTACGGAAAGTATGGGTACGCTGCCCAAGAACAACAACAGCGGCAGCGGCCGCTGTTGGGCAGGCGATCTGTCTCGAATGGACAACGACACCGACAGCGAGCTGTTCAGAATGAGCAGGAGATGCTGTCGGCCTTCGTACCGAATCTGTCCGTACCCATTTCGGTCGCACCGAACCTGGGGTCGAGCCCCGTGGGCTGCGACAGGCACGACCAGCCGGGCGGCTTCAGCACCACCGCCAGGTCCGCGTCCTCGTAGAGCAGGCGAGGCTCATCGCGGAGCGGCGCCTCGGCGTTGGACGGCGGGGCCTTGACCGCGCCGCGCCCCGGCTTGTCGAACATGGGCCGGGCGTGCGCCCCCGGAGCAGGCAGCGGCTCTGAGGCGGCGGACCTGTCCCAGCCGCACAGGTGGGCGACGCAGCTGTGCTTGAGATCGTCGCAGCAGCCGCCGTTCACGCACTGCCGTGGTCCGCACTTCGCCGCACCGCTGGTCTCCCCGAGGCACACCGAGCAAGACAGCTGCTTGCACGCTGACTTCAGCGCCTTGTAGCCCGAGGCCCCCTTGGTCTTGTCGTTCTCGACCTTGAGCCACAACGGCACGAAGCGTTGGGAATCGCTGTTCCACACCGGGTACGCCGGGTGCAGGGCAAGACAGCCCAGCAGCCACTTGACGCCGTCCATGGTGACCCTGTTGCGGGAGAGATGTAGCTCCAGCGCGGGCGCCTGGCTCGAGCCCATGAGGTATCTAGCTATACACCTCGCGCCCTCGTTGCCGATGTTGTTTCCTGTCAGTCTGAGCACGTCGCAGCGCACGCCGTACTTCTCGAGCATATTGCAGACCGCCTTGGTGCCGTTGGCGCTGAGCTTGTTCTCAGAGAAGTCGATCGTGCTGGCCTTGAAGCGCACCCTGCCACTGCGCGCGCCCGCGCTCTCGCCACCGCCTTCGGCGGCAAGGCGGCGGCCCATCCAGTCGCACCACTCTTTCATCCCCGCGTCGCCAAGCTCGACCTCTGGGGGTGCAAAGAAAAATACAGTAGCACCCCGCAGTTGCGGATAAGAGTGAGGGGGCGGCGGGTGCGTCGGCTGTCTGCGAGGCTCTGAAGAAGCCTGCCGCAGGCGCATAATTTTTCAAGCTATAAAACGAGCCCGCCACAGGCGCCGATGTTTCCCCAAACAGCTTGCTGAACGGTGTGCTGTTGTGATAGAAGCTAACTCCGGCTGGGGAAATCAAAGCCAAGACGTCCTCAAACAAATTTGGTGGTCTGGGCTGTTTCGCCTGAGACATCCTCGCAACTCTCGTTTCTGAGTTGTCTGGGATTGGGCGTTTCGCGTGAGACATCCTTCAAACTCGTTCCCAGATGCCGCGCAAGAGGTGGTCTGGCCTGTTTCGCCTGAAACATCCTCAAACTCTGAGCTCCCAAATGCCGCGCGAGAGGTGGTCCGGCCCGTTTCGCCTGAAACATCCTCGAAACTCTGAGTTCTGAGATGCCGCGCAAGAGGTGTGGTCCGGCCCGTATCGCCTGAGACATCCTCCAAACTCTGAGCTCTGAGATGCCGTGCGCGAGGTGGTCCGGCGCGTTTCGCCTGAGACATCCTCGCAACTCTGAGTTCTGAGATGCCGCGCAAGAGGTGGCCCAGCCCATTTCGCCTGAGAGATCCTCGAAACCCTGGGCTCCGAAATGCCACGCAAGAGGTGGTCCGGCCCGTTTCGCCTGAGACATCCTCCAACCCTGATATGCCGTGCGCGAGGTGGTCCGGCCCGTTTTGCCTGAGACATCCTCGCAACTCTGCGCTCTCTGATGCCGCGCGAGAGGTGGTCCGGCCCGTTTCGCTTGAGACATCCTCCAAACTCTGAGCTCCGAGCTGCCGCCCAAGAGGTGGTCCGGCCCGTTTCACTTGAGACATCCTCGCACTTTTGCATTCCGAGGTGCCGCGCGGGAGGTGGTCCGGCCCGTTTCGTCAGAGACGTCCTCCAAACTCTGAGCTCTGAGATGCCGCGCGCGAGGTGGTTTGGTCCATTTCGCCTGAGACATCCTCGAAACTCTGAGCTCTGAATTGCCGCGCAAGAGGTGGTCCAACCCATTTCGCCTGAGACATCCTCGCAACTCTGACCTTGGAGATGCCGCGCGCGACGTGGTCCAGCCCGTTTCGCCTGAGACATCCTCAAACTCTGAGCTCTGAGATGCCTGCGCGAGGTGGTCCGGCCCGTCTCGCCTGAGACATCCTCGCAACTCTGAGCTCTGAGATGCCGTGCGCAAGGTGGTCCTGCTTGTTTCGCACAAGACATTCTCGCAACTTTGAGCTCCCAGATGCCGAGGAAGAGGTGGTCCAGCCTGGGGGCCCAGAAGACCACATGTTACATATCCTCCCTGGGACCCTGGGAGCCCCAGGAGGCGCCAGAGAGTTCCAGGAGGCCGCAGGACGCCCAGGACAGGCCCGAGGGGTCCCCAGGAAATTCCCAGAAGGCTCCCAGGAGGCCCCAGGACGCCCCCTATCACAACGTGTCAAGTTAATACACATCCGGTGCCGATTCGTTGATTTTTCCTGCTCTTGTGGCCCCCCCATGTCGAAGGGCCCAAACGGCCACATGTTCGATGTCCCCCCCTGGGAGCCCCAAGAGGCTTCAGAAGGCCCCATGTGGAGTCCATGGGGCCACAGGAGGCCCATGAGGAAGCTCCAGGAGGTCTCAAGGAGGCCCCAGGAGGCCCCCGCAACCCGGAGCTCTGAGACGCCGCGCTCGAGGTGGTCCGGCCCGTTTCGCCTGAGACTTCCTCGCAGCACGTTTCGCCCGAGACATCGTCGCAATTCTGGGGTCCGAGATGCCGCGCGCGAGGTGGTCCAGCCCGTTACGCTGGGGACATCCTCGCAAGTCTGGGCTCCGAAAGGCCGTTCGGGATGAAGAGGAGGTGGATGAGGAGGAGGAGGAGGACGAGGAGAAGAAGAAGGAGATGGAAGGGAGAAAGAGGAGGATTATGTGGACGAGGGGACAGGCAGGAGGAGGGGAGGAGGAAGAGGAGGAGAAGGGAGAAGGAAGGGAGTTCCAAGAGAGGACCTAACGGGAGACGGAAATGGCGTGGACTTGTCAGAACGTGTGCGAAAGGTTGTCCGGCCCGTTTTGTTTGAGACACCCTCACAATGCGAAACTCGAAGATGTTGCGCGCGAGATGATCTGGCCCGCTCTGCCTGAAACGTTTCGAAACACAGGGGCTCCAATCACAACCTCTCTCATTATTTGTCCCGCCTCCCTCTTCCCGCTCCCCGCCTGGCTCCTCCCGCCTCCCGCCTCCCGCTGCTGCGCCTCTGCCTCCGCCTCCCCGCCCCCGCCGTCGTCGCGTCTGCCGCCTAAGCATCCGTCATGCGCGCCCTGCCTTCCGCCCTCCCCAGACATCCGACGTCACCATGTTTTTTTTTGAGACGTGCGCCGCGTACCTCTCGAGATCATCCCTGGGGGAACCATCGCGACATGCCACCCCCGCCCTCCCCCGCTTCCTCGTACAGATGCTCCCGGGTTCACAACATGGCGGCGGAGCCTCTCACAGTGCCGATCCGACAGCTTACTCGTCGACCAGGTGCGAAATAGTAGGACAACCTCTAGCGATAGCTTCCTGCTAGGCATGCGTCACACAAACCTTCGTGTAAACATCATGTGCAAACATCATGTTATAATGTTATAACATGCCATGCCAACCCGCACTGGACGGGCACGCGATCGACCTTGGAAACCGCAGTGGGTTTAAAAACCCTGTTTGGGGATACTGCGCTCCGGCTATAATTTCGTTCCAAAAAAAATGAATGGGTCACGGGTTGGGTCGCAGGTGGGTCGACGGTGGGTCGCGGGCCGAGGAGCGGGTGGGTCGCGGGTGGGTCGCGGGTGGGTCGCGGGTGGGTCGCAGGTGGGTCGCGGGTGGGTCGCGGGTGGGTCGCGGGTGGGTCGCGGGGTGGGTCGCGGATGGGTCGCGGGTGGGTCGCGGGGTGGGTCGCGGGTGGTGGGTCGCGGGGTGGGTCGCGGGTGGGTCGCGGGTGGGTCGCGGGGTGGGTCGCGGGTGGGTCGCGGCTGGGTCGCGGGTGGGTCGCGGGTGGGTCTCGGGGTGGGTCGCGGGGTGGGTCGCGGGTGGGACGACGACAACAAACAACAGCAACAACAACACCATTCATTATAAGACTGTTCGCTCTTACTTGCCCGCGTGTCATTCAAAACGAGTTCCCCACACCCTCGATACCCGCCCTTTTTGTCTTCGATCACACCCCGTTTGAGGGGATTCGTTCTCTTTGATGGGGGCGGCGGCCTTAGACAGGCGGGCAAACCTGAACGGGCGGACAATCCTTCGTGGGCGTACATGTGCCCGCCATTGGAATAGGTTTGTGCCCTGCAAAAATAAGAGGGGGAGAACGAGGGAGAGTGTGAGGAAGGGAGGGGGAGGGACGAAGGAAGAGGGACAACGCCGGGAGAGAAGGAGCGAAGACGGGGGCGGCTGATTAGAGGCAGAGAGAGAGAGAAGGAGAGAGAGAGAGAGAGAAAGAGAGAAAGACAGATAAGAGAGGTAGAGAAAGAGAGAGAGAGAGAGAGTGAGAGAGGGTAGAGAGAGAGAGAGAGAAAGAAAGAGGGTGGGAGGAGGCAGGAAAGGGGAGGGAGAAGGGAGGAAGGAGAGGAGGGAGAAGGGGATAGGGCAGAGAGGCATAAGGATGAGGGAAGAGAGGAGGGAGACAGAAGGGAGGAGAGGAGGGAGGAGGGAGGAGGGAGGAGGAGCAGGAAAGTAAGAACGTGAACGTTCGAGGAAGTCCTAGGCGAAAGCGCCGTTCCTGAAGGAAGTCTCGGGCGGGAGCCCACGACGGGCGGGCGATCCCCTGACGGGTGGGTCGGGCGGGTGCGACAGTCAAGCGGGATGCCTGAGTATGGCGAGAGCGCGATTACTAAGTAAATTGTAAAGGCGTCCTTGGCGCAGCGTGTTTCCTGAGCGTCGAAAGCGCGATGTATGAACACATTGCATGGAAGTTACAGGCGAGAGCGCAGTTCATGAAAAAAATGTGAAGGGTTCTCTGGCGGGAGCGGGGGTCTGGATTAAATTGCGAGGAAGTCTTGATTCAACTGCGAGGAAGTCTCAATCGGGAGCGCCGCTCCTGAGAAAAGTGTGAGGAAGTCTCAGATGGGAGCGGGGGTCCTAACTAAATTGCGAGGAAGTCACAGGCGGAAACACCGATCCTGAGTAAATTGTGAGGAAGTCTCAGGAGCGGGGGTCCTGAGTAATTTAAGAGGCAGTCTCAGGCGGGAGCCGTTGTTGTAATCCATGGGGCCAGGGGCACAGTTTGAGACCCAAGACTTTCCCTGTCAAAAAACAAGGTGCGAACGTCGGTGGGTACTCTTTGACTGAGAAAACATATTTACTGGTGAGGGGGATCAGCAATACTTATTCTTCAGAAATGAGAGTTCAACACCAACAACAAAAACAACACCACCACCACCACCAACAACAACAACAACAGCACCAACCACAACAACAACAACAACAACAACCACAACAACAACAACAGCAACAACGACGCAACAAACAGAATCCACACCATGGATTCTCACTTTAGCCACGCACCCAAAGACAATGAATAACCGTTCGGCCCCCGCATTCTGACTGACACCGCTACACCTCGGACCTCTCAGGCCAAGGCTGCGCTCGCTCTGACGAAGATTCCAAAACGAATCCCGCCGTGGCGACGAGGACCCCAAAAGATGGCCGCAAAGAAGAATCCATGTTCTTCTCCATGACATATCGATCGTGGGGGCAATCCGGAAAAGCGCCCCTCCCCCCCCCCCCTCCCCCCCCAAGAACAGCAACAAACAAACAAACAAACTCTGGGCCTCTGGACGTCCTGGACGCCCAACCGCGGGTTTGTGAGCCTCCTGGACGTCGGCGGCAGGCCTCGCAAACAGAACCAACCTAAGTAGTTGGAAGGGCACCCGATAGGTCTCATGAGAGCCCCAAGTGGCTTCATAACCCCCCACTCATGCGCACGAAGACAGCAGACAGAAGACCTCCAAGAGGCCATGCAAACGCGAATCAAAACTACTCGTTGGAGGAAACCGCGGTTGGCAGCAAGATAGCTAGAAAGAGTAAGGGGACGGAGGGATACGAAGGAAGGGATACCCATAGTATAGCTTGAGTCCAGCATCTCCGAACGGTATTCGCTTGAGCCAAGGTGGCTCCTCAGAGTGTTCGCGCGTCCTCCTGCTCCTGATCCGCCTGCGCCTTCGGCATCGTCGTCGTCGTCGAGCTGTTCGTCATCGTCGTCGTCGTCCTATTCCTCGGCATCCACGTCATGCTCCATCTCGCCCTCGGCCCCATCCCTAGCACTACACCTCCTCCTCATCATCATCCCACTCCTCTATTCCTCCAGCTCCTCCTCCTCCTCCTCCTCCACCTCCTCCTCCTACTCCAAGACCTCCTCCTTATCCTGGCCTCCTGGTCCTTCCTCTCCTTCTCCTCCTATACTTCCTCATCTCACTCCTCCTCGCCCCACCTCCCAATACGAATCCTCCTTCTCCTCCTGGTTGTATTCCTCCTCATCCTCTACCTCCTCGTCGCACTCCCCTTGTCTTGTTCCTCCTCCTGCGCCGTGCTCCACGTCCTCATCCACGTAATCCTCGTACTCCTCAACGTGTTTCCTCGTCTTCCTCCCATTGGCAGTGCTCCTTCTCCTCCTCGTCCTCCGCCTCCTCCTCATTAGCATCATCAGTAGCAGCATCAGCATCCGCATCAGCATCACCATGATAATCATGATCATCATGATCAGCATCATGTTCAGCATCATCATCATATCCTCATCCTCCTCATCATCATCATCAGCATCATCATCATCATCATCATCGTCGTCGCCATCGTCATCGCCATCGCCATCGCCATCGTCATCATCAGCAGCAACATCATCATCATCATCAGCAGCATCATCATCATCATCAGCATCATCATCAACATCATCATCAACAGCATCAGCATCATCCTCATAACACTTCTCCTCCTCGTCCATCCTCTTCTCCGTTTCCTCCGCCATACCAGGGACGCCTTCGCACTCTCGATTCCGCTTCCAACTTCCAGGAGGCATCCTCGCCAGGGATGCCCTCACACAAATAGCTGGGGCATGGCTCCGTCTCCCTCCTGCATTATTCCGCTGTCCCCCTCCCCTCCTCCTTAGGAAGGCACCAACTATACACCAACACCGATCCCGGCCAGGATCACCCTGGGCCCAGGATCGGTGTATACGCCCTCCTGCCCTGCGCAAGAAGGCATATGCACCGATCCTGGGCCCAGGGTGATCCTGGGCCAGGATCGGTGTTGGTGTATAGTTGGTGCCCTCCGACTCCTGCCCCTTATCCCGCACCCCTCCCTCCTCGCCGCGCCCTCGCTCGAGGCACCTCCACGACCTGCTCCCGCAGGCCTCCGCCCCGAGGAGCGCTCGGAACTTACCCCACGGGATATCGCGCTCGCGCCCTGGGCGCCA